ACCAATTTTAGTTTGTTGCAGTCTGTCAGACGGCACGTTTCCGTTCCCGTTTGCTATTTGTGTTGCATAGGTGCGTTTGCGAGTATGGCGGGACCTTCTAAACGTGTACGATACGATGATCCGGAGTTCGAAGAAACCGTTCTAAAATGGTTTGAGGATGAAGGAAGTGACTTTAGTGATATAGACAGTGCCTCAGAAGACGAATACATGGAATCAGATCATACAAGTGATAGTGAGTTATCAGAAGACGGAGCCGAAGGAAATGAAGAGGATTTACCAGCTCAGAATTATTTCTATGGAAAAAATCGTCATAGGTGGAATATTTCGGAAGTTGTACCATCATCACGTACAAGGAAGCACAATATAGTCATTAAAGTACCAACTCTAAGAGGAAAAGCTCATGAATATGGAGAAGAAGCAGCTCCGTTGACGGTTTGGCAGCTTTTGTTCACTGACGACATGTTGGTACATATCGTTAAGTGGACCAATCACAAGCTCAAAGAAATGCGAAAGAGATACAAAAATCAAACCAGCAACCTAAACGACACTGATTTAGTCGAAATAAAGGCACTATTGGGTCTCTTAGTATATACATCGGTGTTCAACAGCAACCACGAGAACATTGAAACACTTTTTGCCACCGATGGCTCTGGAAGAGATATATTCAGAGCTGTCATGAACATAAAACGATTTGGTATTCTCCTGTCAGCCTTAAGGTTTGATAACCCAGATGACAGGAATGAAAGAAAGATCTTTCATTTTTAATAGTTTTATAAAGAACTGTCAAGATGTGTACGGAGTTGGCCAGTCTGTCACTGTCGATGAAATGCTCGTGAGTTTCAGAGGAAGATGTCGATTTAAAATGTATATGCCTGCGAAACCTTGCAAATATGGCATAAAAATTATGGCATTGACGGATGCAAGGAATAGCTACCTCTATAACGCATATATATACTGCGGTAAAGATTCCGATAGTTTCGAACTTCCTGAGGAACACAAGCGGTATTCCAAACCCACACAATCAGTTCTACGTCTCGCGAAGCCTCTGTTTGGAACTAATCGCAACATTACAGCGGACAACTGGTTTACGTCAATAGAATTAATGGATGTCCTATTGAAGAACAAACTGACCTATGTGGGTACAATGAAGAAAAATAAAAGAGAAATTCCTCCGGCATTTTTACCCAACAAATCAAGAGAAGTCGGATCAACAATGTACGGATTTCGAGAAGATTCCACTATTGTGTCTCATGTAAGCAAAAAAAATAAAGCCACAATACTCATATCTTCTATGCACCACAGAAAATATTGTGATCCGGAAACACAGAAACCGGAAATAATAGCCTATTACAATGCTAATAAAGGTGGAGTTGATTCTCTTGATGAAAAATGTTCGAAGAGTACCTCAAGTCGCCGTTCGCGTAGGTGGCCACTGGTTATTTTCTACCGACTATTGGATATATCGGTAGTGAACTCGTATATTTTACACCAGTGCTATAAGAAAAATGAATTGCAGAAGGAAAAATCGGTATTTGCTAAGATGTTGGCCGCTAACCTGGTCCGTGAGCATATGGAAAAGCGACTAGAGAGTCCCCGTTTACCTCGGGATTTGCGACTTACGATAAATCGCATCCTTGGCAAATGTGAACATCCAGCAACAGAAGCTGAAAATTTGGTTTTGGAAAAAAGGAAAGCCTGCTTTTTATGTCACCGAACGACCCATCGGATGACCAAATTTTTGTGTGTACAATATAGGAAGCCTGTATGTCTTCAATGCTCCAAACCCAAATGTATTAGCTGCATGAATATAGGCAATGTTTGAGACTTGCAGTGAATTTTGATTGTGTTCTTTTTGTATTTATTGACTATAATATACTTTCCTTGTTCATTACTTAACTAGAAAATAGAAAAATATTGAGACTTTTCCATAGTTTTAATTTAGTTTCTGAATGTTGCAACAACAGCGTTATTTTTGTATGGTTTTAGCATAGTTAATAAAAATGTTTCTTTTATGTTCTTGTATCATTTTGAAATGAGCATTTTACGTATTAAACACATAAAATAAACATCCAGTATCAGTTTCAGCGAAGTTATTGCTTGCTTTTCGCCTTACTCTAATTTTTTGAACATCTTGAAGTTCGCAGTCTGAGAGACGGCATGTTTCCTTTTGTGTTCCAAAAATTCACGTTTCCTGTTAAGGGTTAAATTCATCACATTCTGACACTGTTTTCAGCACTGTTTAACATTCCGGTAATGATTTCGGCACCCGGCTTGTCATTGGTTGAATAAATTGAAATTGACCAATAAAATTAAGGCTGGTGCCGAACCCTATACCATAGTGTTAAAATGCGCCCCGGCACAACAAAGATGCAGCGCGGCAAAGCGACAGCCGCCTAAGCGTTGCAATAGCTATTGGTCATTCGACCATAAAACTACAAACAAGTGCAGGATTCGACAGGATAGAACTCAAGCTCGGGGTATCGCCGGCAATTTCTGCTCATATTCGGTGCATACATACGTTAGCATGTCGTCTACGGATACAGCAGATGAAACTGAGAAGATTTCTCCCAATGCTTCCTTCAGCCATACTTCCTCTTCAGTGATGTCTCCTCCCCGAAAACATGAGAAGAAGGGACATTTGAATATTCAGGCAAAGGAAATTGTCCTGAACGTTTATAAGAGCGAAATCTTAGATGTAAATTCATGATATTGTAAGACGTGTGGCGAACAAAACAGGCTTATGCCCTAAGACAATTTTCAACATTGTTAAAGAATATAAAAAAACTAAAAATTGTCCCCACCTCACAAGAGGCTGCATCACACGAAGCCCTTGGATACAGTTGATAACTTTGATCAGAATGTCATCAGACGCCAAGGCAGGAACTTCCCACCATATACAAAGTATTATACAGGAGCTTCATTTTGAGTATAGAAAATGAGGCAGAAATAGTATTTTGACGGATAGTCAAGAGATTATTTTATGAATGAATTACACATTTAAAATCAATTAAGAAATACCTCGCCCAGGGCAGGAAGATTTATTACTTGGATGAAACCTGGATGAATGCAGGACATACAAAACCAAAAATATGGGCTGACTCTATAATCAAATCAGCAAGACAAGCATTCTTAGATGGACTAACCACTGACCTAAAGGGGCGTTGACATTATGCTTGTTGGCTGGTACTATCAAACTAGCGCTAGTTCGCTGGTACTGCTTGTCCTGTTTTCATACTAGTATGTGCTGTGTTGTGCAGTTGTGCTAGTAAAATAATTACATTTTAGTTTGATGGTTTGGAATGGCTGTCAATTCGTGAAAATGGGTGAAGTATTAGCAAAAGGCATTGAAATAGTGGCTACAATGTTACAAGGGGAATTAAGAAGTATCGCACATAAAAGAAGTCGTCGACAAAGAAGGTGGTGGACGCGAGAATGGATTGTACAACGAAAATGTTTTGGTGTTAGTGAAAACCTATTAAAGGAAGTAACTTCTGACCCCCAAACATTCACGAATAATTTACGGCTGACTCCAGATCAATTCTCATTTTTATTACAATGCGTTACTCCGATTATACGAAAACAAGATACTTCGTTCAGGGAAGCGTTGACGCCGGAACTGAAACTTCAAATTACATTACGCTACGTAGCATCTGGAGACTCTTTTAGCACACTAGAACATATGTACAGGGTTCCAAAAAGTACAATTTAAAAATTTCTAGTAGACATTCTTAACGCAATATATGCTATGCTACAAGATTACATAAAGATTGCGGACTCTGAAGAAAAATGGAAAGTAATTGCTGATAGATTTCATTCAAGGTGCAACTTTCCAGGATGTTGCGGGGCAATAGATGGAAAACATATACGTATAAAGTGCCCTGCAAATAGTGGAAGCTATTTTTATAATTATAAGGGGTACTTTAGTACAGTTCTGCTTGCTACGGTTAATAGTAATTATGAATTCTTATACACCGATGTCGGTTCCAACGCAAGAATGAATGATGCTAGCCTTTTTGGGGCATCACGTTTGAAAACCGCACATTGCGTTTCCCAGATTGGGGAGTTCTTGTCGGAGATGACAGGTTCCCTCTGAAAACCTATTTAATGAAGCCGTATTCAAGGAATGGAATTACCCAAAAAGAAAAAATATTTAATTATCGTCTTTCGAGAGCTCGACGAATATCCGAAAATGCTTTTGGGATTATTGTATCTAGACTTAGAATATTTTTACGTGGTACAGAAGTATCCCCGGATAAGGTAGATTATATAGTAAGAACAACATGTGCTTTACATAACTGGTTACGAAAAACATCAGCAAATACTTACATACCACCAAGAACAACCGATTACGAAGATATTGATACTGGTAATATAATAACTGGATCATGGAGGAAAGACGTAGCAAATAATCAAATGCTTCAGCCGGGTCATTCTTGGGGCTCCCACAATTATTCTAAAGGAGCAGCTACCCGACGAGACAACTATGCGGAATATTTTATGAATGATGGGGCTGTTGACTGGCAATGGAATATGATTTAAGAAACAGTATAAAATTATTGTGATTAGTGATGTAAAATTTCCGACAGGACAAAGTTGTACATAAAAATAATAATCTTGAAATAATAAAGCTATTCAATGAGGTAATCAAAAGTTTATTGAATTAGTGTAAATACATATTTTGAAAACATAATTATGTATTATTTAGTACTTACAATAAATAACAACAAGTAAAAATGAACAAAACCGTTTTCCTTTGTTTGTATGCAGAGGAAAATGTTAGTCAAAGATTCGTTATCTCAATTTCCTTTTCAAACAAGTGGCCAATTTCTGCAGACAAAATATCAGTATTTTGAACTTCGTTATTTTCTTCCAAATCATTATAAACTGATTGTTGTGGTGAAATGTAACACCTTAGTGAGCTGTTGCTGTTCTGCATTTATCGGCGATTGTAAAGCCCTTTCAACTGGACTAAAACAGGTGGAATGTGAAGACCGCGCAGACGAAGATTTTTCCCTTTCATACTCTAGTCGCTCACTCATTAATATTTGCTGGAATTCTGTCTGGCATTTTAGAACTCGTTGTATAGACAAATTTCTTAATTGGTGTGCTATATTCATGCCAAAACAGTCAAATTAATCTTTTTCCTGTACAATCTTTTTGAGATCCTCCAGTTTTTCCATTGCGCTTGAAATATGATCTGGGACATCTTTTTGTTTCTTCCTTTTAATACTTGGTATGCTTCTTCCCTCACTACTGGATTTTGCTGGTACGAATGTTTTTCATGAAGTTCCCTCAAGTTCGCCACCATCTATATCTTCGGAAGACTCAACTGAGGACATTTCTGATTTATCCTGTAAGAAATTATTATTAGGTATATTAATTTACTATAAATAATATAAAATCAAATGAGTATTTGTTTTGAAAAGTATGTAATTGGTCATTACCCAAATAATTTTGTTGAAATCCATACCAGACTACTAGAAGGTTCTCTACCAGCGCAGTACTCTAGGAATGTAGCGGCTTCATTAAACCAAACAAGTCTTGGCGTGTATAAGTCATCTGGTAATGCCCCAGATTTCTTATACTTTGTTATTTTATTTTTCTCCAAGTGATAGGTATCTCTGATGGCTTTTATTTTGTTCTTTATCATATCCAGGGTAAAGTTTTTCATGTTCATTTCCTGCTGTATGTATTCAAATGTTTTGTTTCGCTTTTCTCTGTTTTCATAATTTGTATCGTGAACATTCCACAGTATTTCAAATTCTTTATATAAACTCACAAATTTTAACGTTTCTTATTCACTCCATTTGTGCATAGGCGTCATTTTTATTTCTTTAACTGGTACACAAAAGTACAAATGATTTCAACTTTGCTAGCGCTAGTAAAATGAGCACGAGACTGGCGCTAGCCAGTGTTTACATTGTACTTGTCGACTGGCATGGACCAACTGGTACCAGTCAATAAGCATAATGTCAACGCCCCTTTAAGAATCCGCCAGGTACGTGTATCTAACCAATTCATCATTTGTGTGGTAAAAATGGTGTCAACCAGACTGAATCTGTGAGCCCACGATGAAAACTTAGCTACACTAAACCTAGGTTTATCTGGATTTGGAACCAACACCTGTTAGATACTCTGCTTGTATTATTATTAGTTTTCTTGAATACAACAGGGTTCGTCAGAAAGACCGCATGTTTTTCGAATGGGTACTACATCGAGTGGGCTGGTCCCGTGTCGGTGGGGAAGGGCGTTTTGGATAGTGGGAGAAGTGCCGTTTCAGTTGGCAAGATGGTTTGGAACGTTGAGCATCGTGTGTTCACTGTACGTCGGTACTTTCAAAATGGCGAGTCGTCGTTCGAACGCAACGTGAGTTACGCGTTCACTTTCGTGTTCCACGTCGTGGGACAGTACCAGACCGTAACAACATTTTGAGATGGGTGAAAGCATTCAACACAACAGGTAATGTGATGAAAAAACCGCCAGGGCCAAGCCGTACTGTTAGAACCCCGAAAACGCAGACAGAGTGAGACTGACACGCTGCAAAGCCCGAATCGTTCGGTCCGTTTGCGTGCCAGTTCCCTAGGGATCCACGCGTCCTCTGTACGTCGCATCTTGAAGAATGATTTATTGTTCCATCCTTATAAAATCCAAGTTTGTCAACAACTGTTGCCAGGGGATTATGCACGTGTTCATTTTGCACAGCTCATGATTGAACAGTTGGATAACAATGACATGACGTTGTTTATGAGTGATGAAGCACATTTTCATTTACATGGATACGTCAATAAACAAAATTGTCGATAATGGTCTCTAATGAACCCCCAACAGTTGCATGAGCACCCCTGCATACCAAGAAAGCTAGTTTGGTGTGCAGTAGGCCCAACGATGATTATTGGCCTTATTTTTTTGAGGATGATGGAGAAACAACTATTGTGAATTCGGAGCGTTACATCCACAAGCTGAACAACTTTTTTTTCCGGAACTTCGACGTCGACGTGTCCGTCTCAGAACAGTGTGGTTCCAACAAGACGGCGCAACATCTCACACAGCTCGCACTTGAATGGAACTTCTTCGGCAAAAAATCCCAGGACGTCTCATTTCACGTCTTGGCGATATTTCATGCCACGGTCGCTACCCGCACCTGTTAACGTGTGTTTTTTTTATGGGGCTACTCGGAATAAGAAGAAAAGTAACCCAAATGCCTGCACGGACGCTGGCCAACGCAATGGCCTCATTTCGGGAGAGGCTTGATTCCTGCATTTTGGCTCAAGGGCGCTTTATGGCCGACATAGTTTTTAAAACGTAAATTTTGTTTTACTCAAAAAAATGGCATGTATTTCCGAGTATTTTGATAAAATATTTTTACCATACTTATTTTGACTGTACTACTCATTTAAAGAACATGCGTTCTTTCTGACGGACCCTGTATATGAAATGATTATTTTCAGGAAAAGGGAAACGATTTAGCTGTCACATTGGTAGTGAAGATTACAAAGCCCTATAGGCATTAAGTCAATGAAAACGCAGAAATTCAACAATGTCTCATATCAACAGACATTAGTTTCTATGAAAATATGTTCAAAGCACACCACTTACCCATCTAGTCTGGCAGCACAAATGTAAATATAATCTTAATGTTACTGACGAAATTGCTAAAAACCAAAATAAAACCGTTTTAAGGATACGCCCTTAGTGCTGCGAATTGAATCCCATTGAAGTGATTTGGGTCTATATAAAAAACTATCTGGCTTCAAACAATAACATTCAAATTTTCTGACGTGAAAAATTTATTTTATGAAGCTGTCCACAGAGTGACGGCAAACCATTGGCAAGACTGCATCCGTGACGTTCATGAAACACTCGAAACAAACATGTGGGATCAGGACAATATGATCGATATTCAAACGGAACCTGTGATAATATTATCCATTCGGACGATGATTCAAGTACTCCCGGCGAATAAAGAATTGTGAAAAGTATGTGTGCACTTCTTTCTATAAAAATAATCATTTATTTTGTTAGATCCATTGATGAAAATACGGACCTGTAAAATCTCGCTTTTGGGCAAGTTGTGTTTTGTCTGGGCGTAAATGGACTACAAATAGGGTAGCATTTCTGAAAAATTCACACTCCCAGCAGGAAAGGCCGTCACTGTCAGGCCAATAATGTCGCGCTCTTCTCCCTGATATCAGCTATAAAAACTTTGCCGTCCAAAGCAAATCCTTTCATGAAAACAGTCACCTCCAAGGGCTCAGGTGTTCAAAACAGTTAAACTACGCTCCACTTTGCAGTATCAGGGTATGAATGAATAACACCACATGTTAGTTTATATTTTAATAGAAAGCTGTTTCTAAATGTGAACATGTATATGTATATTATCAAAATGTGAGTCAAAAGAATCGATGAAAATAACAACGTACGACCTAAATAATAATACAGAACAATTCAATAGATATTGTTTCGCCATCATTATAAAACTAGTGATACGTGATCAGAGCACATATAAAACGAACACAAGCACAAATCTGCATACGATTTGAATGATAAAAGAATTATATAAATATGAGTCTGAATAATTACTCTGATCAGAATACCAAAGTAAATGAGGATCTGATAGCTCTCCTCTCTCTCGATTCTGGTACAAAAAGATATTCCTAACTTGTTTATGAAAAATTGGACGTGCCTTAAACTGGTTGAAATTTTGTTGTCTGAACTGACCTTTTTTTGAACAATGCGACGTTTATTAGATTCTGATGTATTTTTTGATTTAATTTTGTTGCAAATTAAATACTGTTATCTTTACTGTGTAGTAATACTACGTCAATATATTAGAGTTTGCCAGTTCAACGTCCGATCTCCGAAGAAACTGCAGAATGGTGGATGAAACTACCAATTATCAAGTTTTGGAGCAGTAGTAGGGCCAACAAATACGCCACAAATGTCAATGTAATCAATTAGCGTCTCAGATCCTCAATACTGTTTTCATCTATTCTCTATCGGCAGGTGACCTCACATCATCAATTTTCAAGATCATCTTTACCAACTGTGTGGCAAGCAATAACTGTTGTCTCTTGGACCTCACTGATTCAATGACGTGTTGCTCCCTCATATTGAGAAAGCCTTTTCCCATACAGTCTATTCCTAGGGCTGGATCCCCACTGGAGGCTTGTTTGGCCTGAAACAAGATACAAAATTTGAGCCGTATTTTCAGGATGACGTGATTATGTGATGCAAACACATTCACAGGGTACTACCAGAGGTGATAGCCTGTCAAAAATGAACTAAGTTGCGGTTGGCAAGATATCCCTCAACGTCACTGTGACATTCAAACGATAATTTTGAAAAGTTAGGTTAGACCAACGAATTCAGACTAGTAGTCTAATTATATTAGCGAATTCCCCCAAAATAATTGTAAAGTATGGTTTTATTGCTGTAAGCTGTTCAACGGCGAATTCAAAACATGTACGCATAAAATGGGTACACCGATTTTTGTGGGAAAACTTTTTATTCGACGACATAGAATAAGAAAACGTATTTTTTGGGATTCAATCGAAAGTGTTGACAGGAACGGAAAAAGTCTTCAAAAAAAATTTTTTAGTATTTAAGGGACCTATAAAATGAGACCACACGTAAAAAGATCCGACTAATAGCAAAAATGTTATGGCCGAAAAAACGAGGCAAAATGCAGGTTTTGGCACTTGGTAATGCGACAATAGTTTCACGCAACTACTTGAAATTCTTCAAATCCGTAGGATTCATACTTCTAAATAAAAACAACATAATTATTAGTAGTAGTATATTGGTCAAGTAGTTTCTGAGAATTTCGAATTGTTTATCCCAAAACACCTGTTTTCCGACCACCACTACTAGTTTATTGAGCAAATTCAAAGAACATTTAATAGCAAAATATACGTATTTACCTTGTCGATAGGCATGGCAAACCATCCCTAAAGATATATGTTATTTTTATGCGAAAAACAAAGGTTACGTTTTTTTCTTATAGACAAATTCACAAACATTTCGTATTTGTGAGTAATTGAATAAATGTGCTACGGTATTCGAAAAACATAGGTTACTATACACATTTTAAAACAAAGCGGTTGCGAATTACTCGCAAATACGAAATTTTTGAATTTGTTTAGAAGAAAACACGTAACCCACCCTTTTTTGCATAAACATAATATTTATCTTCCGGGATGGTTTGCGATTCATATCGACAAGGTGAACTAGTGTATTTTGCTAACATGCCCTTTGAACTAAATCTGTATATTGTCCAAAAAAACTAGTAGTGATGGCCGGAAAACAGGTGTTTTGGGATAAGCAATTAGAAATTTCCAAAAAACTACTCGACCAATATAATCCAATTTTGTTGTTATTTAGAAGTATAAATCCTGCAGTTTGTCTCGATTTATTGGCCCTAACTTTTTTGCTTTTAGTCGGATCATTTACGTGTGGTCTCATTTTGTAAGTCTCATAAATACCTAAAAATCTTAAATCAAGAGTTTTTTCGTTCCTGCCAAAACTTTCGATTGAATCCCCAAAAAACAAGTTTTCTCATTCTTTGTTGTAGAATAAAAAGTTTTCCCACAAAAATTGGTGTACCCATTTTATGCATCCATGTTTTGAATACCCCCTTGAAGAACTGTAGCAATAAAACCAGACTCTACATTTATTTCGCAAGACAGGGGTATTTCGTCTAATACGATTAGAAGGAGCCAGTCAAGGGTTTGTAATAGTCATAGTTGGTAGAGAGGATTAAAGTGCACTTGTCACAACTCAATTTTTTGACAGTTCTGACATGAAATTCGAATATGTAGTGTTATTTTTTAAAAGTGCAAATGTTTGCAGAGAATGTGGTGTTAGAAGATTTCAATGTATGATTCTTGCACAATTTGCAAAGAGCGGCAACCCCTAATGAAGGTAAATGTTTCCACCGGTAAGTATACTAAGTGACATATAAATCCGAACACCCAGTTTAAATGGTTTTATTTTAATAAAAGTTGGTGAATGTATTTATCTTACTGTAAATAACAAGTGAAAAAATTTTCAGCCTTATCAGTTGGACATTCCGGTTTTTATACTGCTTTTTTTAATTCACTAACGCTCTAAAAATGAATATTTCGGCCGCAGTAAAGAATCAACGTTGGCGGATTTTGGTTCTTGACATCCTTTACGATCGGTTACGATGCCTAGAGTACGGAGACCTGTACGATTTCGTCAACTTAGTGAGTTTGATAGGGGCCGTAGAGTGGAACTTCGGGAAGCTGGACTTTCTTTTCGGGCAATTGCAGTTAGAGTGCAAAGAAGTGTAGACACTGTGGTTAGGTGTTGTCGGGCATGAAACACGTTATCTATCTTAATCTTGGGGCTTTGGAATATCATGTTCAATGATGTACAATCTATTTGTGACAACACCAACATCCAAAGATTAAGGCGAATAACGATCAGAAACTTGAAAAACGACATCAACGTTGTTTGAGGGAAATCTGCCCAGTTTTTCTTTTGTTCACAATAATAATAACCAGTTATGAATATAACAAAATGCTCTTCAAGTAACAAAACGTTCATGACAATGGAGGTGTCTAGCTTCAAACTATTGTTCTCAGCCAGCAGAACAAAAATGCAATCGCACAAAAAACATATATATATATATATATATATATATATATATATATATATATATATATACTAAGTGACATATAAATCCGAACACCCAGTTTAAATGGTTTTATTTTAATAAAAGTTGGCGAATGTATTTATCTTACTGTAAATAACAAGTGAAAAAATTTTCAGCCTCATCAGTTGGCCATTCCGGTTTTTATACTGTTTTTTTTAATTCACTAACGCTCTAAAAATGAGTATTTCAGCCGCAGTAAAGAATCAACGTTGGCAGATTTTGGTTCTTGACATCCTTTACGATCGGTTACGATGCCTAGAGTACGGAGACCTGTAGGATTTCGTCAACTTAGTGAGTTTGATAGGGGCTATTGGGACTTCGGGAAGCTGGACTTTCTTTTCGGGCAATTGCAGTTAGAGTGCAAAGAAGTGTAGACACTGTGGTTAGGTGTTGTCAGGCATGGCTTCGAGAAGGCCGTACGCAAAGAGCAAGGGGCACTGGACGCCGCCGTAGAACAACAGACCGTGAAGATCGCCGCCTAAGATTATTGGCCTTAAGGGACCGTTTCTCCACTACCAGGTCCATTGCACATGAATGGTTTGCAGAACACGGAAGATCTATTGGCATGCGAAGTGTTTACCGACGAATGAGAAGTTTTGGCTTGTTTTCATACCGGCCACACTGGGTCCTCCCTTTAACTCGAGAACACCGACGTAATCGCCTTGAGTGGTGCAGACAACGGTCACTCTGGGATCAGGAATGGAACAGTATTGTCTTTAGCGACGAGTCTCGATTTTGTTTAGGCATGCACGATGGTCGTGCCAGGGTTAGAAGGCGACGTGGTGAAAGGAGGAATCCACAGTTTTTTGTTGAAAGACATGTTCATCACACTGTTGGAGTTATGGTTTGGGGTGCTATAGCTTATGGTTCCAGGTCACCTTTAATCTTCATCAGAGGTAACATGAACGCGCAGCATTATATCTCACGAAGTTTTAGAACCCCAACTTTTACCCTATCTTGAAACCCTGGCAGATAAAACTTTCCAACAAGATAATGCCCGACCACATGTTGCAAGAGTCACAATAGACTTCTTTCAACATAATGATGTCACATTGTTACCATGGCCACCAAGATTTCCCGACGTATCCCCAATTGAGCACGTGTGGGATATGATGGGTAGGAGATTGCTCAATTTGCAACGTCCTACTCAGACTCTAGAATCACTTCGAGAGGAGTTGGTGGTTGCCTGGAATGAGATACCACAGGAGGACATTGACCACCTGATCAGAAGCATGCGTAGGCGCGTTGGAGAATGCGTAGCACATCAGGGTGCATCCACACATTATTAAAGGTCAAAGGGCTTTAAAGCAGTGCAATCATTTTGAAATTTTTATCATTTACTTATTATGCTTCATTAAGTACTTATACAAAATTTTATTAAAATAAAACCATTTAAACTGGGTGTTCGGATTTATATGACACTTAGTATATTATTGTTATGTTGATACAGCGCTGTCACTTTGGTACGCATTAGTAGACAAATGAGTGGAAAATATTCACTAAAACTATGCATTTTTAGTGACAAGCAATGCAGTACAAACATATTGGCTTCACTCCTTTTATTCAAAATTCGTTGGCTACTACCAACAAGGTTTATTGAATCAAAATTCGGCTAAGTACCGATAATGTATATGTGAAATTTATAACCAAATAAGTATAAATGAACAAAAGGAATGCCAAGGATGCTGATTAAAACATAGTAAGTGACGAGATATTTTTTAGATTAAAATATTATTTGTATAACATATCACTGTTAATATTGCCGTTGTCATTGATACTTTTAAAATGACAGGTGGATAGAAATATTTTATTGACACGTGCTAAGTGTTTTGTTACACAAAATTCAATATCTGACAGTTGTTCAAAATATATGGAATAATAAGAACGGTTTTTATTTTTTGACTCAAAAATGGCGCATCGAAGGATAGCAACTCAAGAGAGATTATTTGTTTTAAATTGAGCGGGGAATTCAAAAATAATTTATATTTGGCAAAAAACCATTGAAGTACCATTTTTTTATTCAAAAATATCGAAGTCAATACCCGTACGCACGCCACGGTTAAAGCTAAAAATTATTTTTGCATTGAAAAATATACAACTTTATTAACTGTCACTACGTACACTATAAAGCGAACTAACATTAATTTTTCATGTAGATTCACGACCTTAAATATTCGCCTATCATTAAGGAACACCCTGTATGTAGAAGACGGTTAGTTTTAATGAATATTTAATATTAATTCAAAAACATGTTGTCTGCCTATTGAGCGTATCCATTTTGGAAATTTATTTTTAAAATCATGAGTATTTCGCAATATTTTTAAGCCTTTGAATACGTGTTCATATAATTTGGGAGCCAAATAGAAAAAAGATTGCTTCATTATGGTCTTATAAGGTTTAGAGGCAGTTTTTGCACGTAATTTATACCGAGCATCATGACAATGCGTGATTTTATCGCGCTCACTGATAATTTTGTGACAATGGCTAATATTATGTAAGAAATAAAGTTGCTTGATGTCAAATATGTCGGATATGTATGTAATCTGTGTGTGGCCAAATTCCATATCACCACAGCGTTGTTTCTCAAACGTGTGAATGCTGCTCCTCCCCAACCAATTACTCCGTAGCAAAGATATGTGCGTAGTATAAGACTCATGCAATCGAATATAAGCACGTTTGTAAAGTACTTGAACTTTGGCCTGAGACATCTTATTTTCTTTGTCACGCGCCCAATTTGTACATCCCGTCTTAGATTTTCATCTATATAAATTCCAATGTTTTTCACGCTGGTCTGACGTTTAATAGTGACAGTATAATTTGCTGTTTTGAAGTCAATTTCAGTGTACGGAGGCAAGCGATTCTTAAGGCGCAATTCCACTGAGGCAACAATGAACAACATGTGGCATGCTACTTGTTTCCTAGTGTTGCCTCTTGTTGATGTTCGACAGTGTTGCCCAAAATTCTATTAATGCCGCATGCGGATTTTGTTTCCCTATGTGGCATGCGCTTTGCTGTACATGAGTGTAGCCTGCGTCTTCATGATTCAATTCAAGCAACTCCAGATTAGTACACCATGTCATTACAGACAGTCATTTGTCAGTCATTTCTTCGGATCGGAAAAGATAAAGAAACACGCCAGAATATTGGAGAAGAAATATATACGTAGATGGTCAAGAAATTCAGTATAATTTGTACAACAACTTGGTGGCTGACCATGATGCTTTATTCCAAAATTTCACACGGATGAGTAATGACGATTTTCACTGCTTACTTGAAAAAATCTTACCTATGATAAAAAAATGTGATACCAACTTTCGGGAAGCAATCACGCCCCGCGTGAGATTGCTAGTGACATTAAGATATTTGGCTACGGGTGATAGTTATCTATCGCTTATGTATCTGTTTCGAATACCTGAACCAAGCAATTTCCAATACCGAACAGTTGTATTTTCCTATTTAAAGAAATCAACCGTTAATAAATAAGCCAACTATGGAAAGAAAATGAGAAGATATTTCCCTCTTGTCCCCCTGAAACCATAACCAACCGCAGATGTTACCGTTTTGGGCTCATTAGCCCTCGTCATTGCGATATAGGTCTGCTCGTCTACTACTGGTAAGTCAAGGAGACAGCTAGACAAGAAGCAAACAATCGTATACGTCTAAAAGACTGAAGGTACTGTACGCTAGGAAGTGGCCGTAGCCACCAACTATTTTTGCCTAATGTAATTTATCCTGCTATAATCGTGCATCGTTATATCAGGCAGCAGCGGTGGCCGCAGTAGTAGACTCTTCGGTCTCCTGATCAGTCGCCGTGCGCTGCGCGGGTTCGAATCCCGTCCCAGGAGAAATTTTTCTCTTGGCTATGGATGTTGTGATTGTCCGTAGGTGGTAGATGATCTGTGACTGTCGAACGTGGAGGTACCACCCGGCGGATCTCGTAGGCGGAGCCAGGATGTGTGCATGTTGCATGCACACGTGTTCCCTCGCCAGAGTCCGTGTGGCGTTCCCCCTTTCCAGTGTATCCTCCTATAGCCCCACGGTACCCCATGGGTGTTTAGGCCTTCGTGGTAGTTGGAGTATAAAAAAATACCTTTCCGATTTGTTATTCCATAATTCATCCGATTTATGGTAATCTTCAATTAAATATAATCTTTCTTCATTGGTCTACTCCAATTTGTCGCCTGCTATAAGCCGCACCGATTCGAACGGGTTTGGATAGCCGGCGGCACTGATCAACAAGTGGATTCATGTCGCTGACGGCGCCCTCGAGAGGCAACAACGGGCAAATTGTGGCATGCGGCGAGGAGACATTTTTTTGGTCGCTTTGTGTTGCCTCTATGGAAAGACAGTGTGCCGCATGCGTCAATGCCGTATATGCTACATGTTGCCCAAAAGTTGCCTCAGTGGAATTGCGTCTTTATAAGAGGCAATGTTGACTGTTAATAATTTCCTGTTAAAAAATGCTAGTACAAACTTAAGGTGTATTCAATATTGTTTCTAATGTATCCAAGTTCGAAATTTCACAAATGATAACCGTATCGCCTACGAATCCTAGCACTATACCTCCCGAATCTTTTGAGAACAAATCGCCACAATGTTCTAAAGCTTGGTGTGACTTACAGTAAGGAAAACTTTTGTTAAGTCTGTAAATATGCAAATAGCAGGGATTTTTCTATTCATGCGAGTTTTCTTGTGAGCGTAGCTATTTCACGCCCTAATTGAATCCAAATTGATTTTCGTGCAATACGTCATACTTAGTAAAAATTATAATAGCATTTTGTTGATGGTTTTTCTCTGATTTTGGCGATGTTCGAAATTAATGATATTTGCCTGTAGTTTGACAGTTTGCTACCTCTTATGTATCGGTATAATGGTAGCCGTTTTTAATATATCCGGAAACACCCCGGTACGAAAACATTCATTTATTATGTAAGCGGCTTGCAGATATGTAAAGGATCTCCGGCAGCTTTGTCATTTTTTAGTTCCAAAATACATAGTCATAACTTCATTTTCAAACTAAAGTGAATAACTGAGCTTATGCGTTTGCTTGATAGAGCGTGTCTGTGGTATTTTTTCTGTAAGCTTTTTGCTGATATTTGTAAAATGTACAAACTCCTGAGCAATAGCATATTTGCTTAATGTTGCACTCCCGTCCTCCCTTATTTTTATTTATTCTGCCAGAGATGTCTTTCACACATGCACACAAAGTATTTTACTGTTCTTATTGTTTTGTTTTATCTTATCATAAAATTATTTTTTTCTAATTTTTATTAAATTATTTAATTCCTACAGTCTCTGAATTTTTATATTGTTTTTTTGCAGGTTCTTTTGTCATTTCGTGATTTATTCCGTTATTCTTGTTCACAGAGTTTACCAAGCCAGAGGCATCCATATGTTTCTCGTTCTTTTGTTATTTCTGATTTTTATTTTGAACGTACATTTTGCGATGCTATCGATTAATGTCTGTATGAAGTTTTCTGCAGCTTGGTGTGTTTTGTATAAAAAATGTTTTGCTTATATTCTTGCTGATATTTATAAGGAAAATTATTTGTAGCATGGTTGTGGAATGGTCAGTTGCACAATGAAATATTGAAATACGACAAAGTATGTGTTGACCACCATTAGGACTCCTAACGCAACGCAAAACGATAATAATGGTTCTTCCTAATATCAACAGGAGCTGCATGATATGGAAACAATGAATTCGCAATTTATACAGGCACTTGAAGCTATATTTATTCATAATTACTGCAGCTCTGTTGATCTTTAAAAAATATATAAACATGGAACACGTAAATCGACACATCCATTTGCTGTAGTATCGAGGACTCGATAAAATGGAAACGGTCGTGATGATTCTGAATAGTTTCGCACAATTCTATTAGTGATACCACACATTTAAATAGCTTATCAGACCTTTGGATCGTTACATTGATGTAGGATAAGTCATAATATAAGTACTACAATTCACTACACACGGGAAAGTTACTGTGTATGTCCTATAGAAAGCAGAACTAATGCCAAGTGAGCTTGAGCAGGATTCATCTCAAGCAAATATATGTGCTCATGTGGCTACAAAAATCCACTGTGTCAAATATTTGGAAAAATCGTGACAAGATTAAAAATGAGTAGAAATCCAATAGTTAGAAGAAAAAAACGCGGCTATTGCTGCATCCCCAAGTCGATGATATACTGTTTAAATGGTTTCAACAAAAGCATGCTAATAATTTTCCAATAAGTGGACCTATGCTACAAATAATGGCTGAAGAATTTCGGAAATTGATTGGAGATTACTTCAAATGTAGTTCCGGTTGGCTAGACAGGTTTAAGAGGAGACATAACATTGTTTTTGGAAAAATGTGTGGTGAGTCAGCTTCAGTTGACAAGAACGTTACCAATGACTGGATTTCTCAAGTTTGGTCCGTAATATCTAGTGATCATTCAGATGATAGCATATTCAATGCAGATAAAACCGGGATATTTTATAGAATGCTACCAGATAAAAGTCACGAATTAAAAGGTGAAGCTTGCGATGGAGGGAAACTATCAACAGAGCGAATAACTGTTATGATTTGTGCTAATGCTTCTGGTACTGAAAAACGGAAACTATTGATAATAGGTAAGTGGATAAATAGAAAATCATGTTCTAGTTTTTTGATATTCAATGTCGGTGTTGCAAAGAACTTAGGACCTTTTTTTATTTCAGGAAAATTTAAGAATCCCAGGTGTTAAAACAATCCCCGTCGATTATGTTGGAAATAATAAAGCTAGGATGACATCATCAATTTTTGAAGAATATTTAAACAAGTGGGACATTGAACTTGTTAAGAAAAATCGTAAAATTTTGCTCTTGGTCGCTAACTGCCCCGCTCATCCAAATATTTAATTTATTATTTAATAACATCAACCTTAATTTTTTTCCACCCAATCTGACATCAGTTCTGCAACCAATGGACCAGGGTGTCATTTGGAGTCTTAAACAAATGTATCGGAAACATATCTTGATGAAAATTATGGAGCTTTAAGAAGATGTCAACACTACCAAAGCTGTCACCATTTTAGATGCTATAAATTTGCTTACTATTGCATGGGAACTGATTACTCCAGAAACGATTCCTCATTGTTTTCGCCATGCTTGTTTAGTGAAAAACATAACTGAAATAGTCAACGATTTTAATCCAGAAGATGAACTTCCATTAAGTGATTTACTGAAAATTAATAGTTTATTGAATCTAGACAAGTTTAATGAGTATGTAAATATGTTGACAATAACTTAATAGCAACACAAATTTATTGTGAGACTCTAATTTGGTTAAAGAAGGATCCGTTGATAACGAACAGGAAGACCAACTAGAAAACAAAGATGAAGAAGAGCTTCCAGTGACAACTAAGGAGGCATTAGACTGAGTAAAAAAGTTGAAACGTTATTTTCAGCAAGAAGACAGTACAGCCACAATTACCAAATTAAATAAAACTCAACTTGCTGTCCTAAATAATTATACAAAAAAACAATCTGGTCAACTAAAATTACTAGCTTTTTTACCAAATAATTTACGGTTTTTACACATACCTACACAGTACATATGCCTGTAATATGTGCATCAGATTCTGAAAAAAATACAAATTTCAACGCAAATTTCAAAATTACGTATAACTTCTTTGGATGTATCTTTATTTATATAATACATGTTAAACAAACACATTTTAAGCTTTTAATATGTTATTTCTGCTGATTTTTTCATTAAAAAAAAAATGTTTCTTTTAAGATGGTCATCCGCCTATAATAGACTGTCACAAGTCCCGCCGAGTCCATTATAAGCGGGTTGCACTGTAGTTTGCCTATTTCTAATGGGCAATATTTATGGCCCGGTGATATATCTTGGATATATTAGCAGTATTATCTGCAAGGTGTAGGCACATACCTGGTCACAATTTCTCATCAGAAGGGCTAGAAAATTAGGCAACAATGATGACCAAATTGTGCGCGTCGCGACAGCTTATATTACTTACATCAAACATTCCAATAATTTGGCAATTTGACAACACCATATGAAAATAGGTAGAAAATGTAAAATACTGTATTTTTCAAGAGTATCCATCGTAGAACAACAGCGGATTATCTAGTAATGTTTCAAAATTTCCGATATCGACCAATTACAGACAATTCTGACAGGTCCGTCAACGCCAGTTTGACAGAGCCGTATTTTGTTGTTTTTTTTTGTACGCTACGGATTCATTTTGTACTTGCTAACAGCTCTTTTATTAAAAGTTCATTTGCATACAAAATGCTACAATCAAAATGGCTGCTAACGATCAAGACTAAATTTCATCTCAGGTAGGAATAACAATATAAACAGTTTTTGACTTAATTAACGATCTCGACTTTTCAGAACTTGAAACGCCATATGATTTTAAAGCGCAACAAAACAGCCATATTTGAATTACGTTACACTGATGACGGACAATTAACCAGAAACACGAGTCTATATCAATCTTACATCGAAAATTAGAGCTACTGGAAAGGACAACACTGTCTGTTATATTGATTTTCCTCGTCATCAGAAATCTCAGGTGTACTATACTAATTTTCTAATAAACATTTTTCTATGTGTATTCCCTTCGCGGGCACCCCTCTTACACGGACACATCCTTTGTTTGTTTCTCATTGTACCGACCGACTCTCAGATATTTGCATTGCATTAACTCTCTCTCTCTCCCTGTCTCTTGGACGGACATTCTCTTGAACGGACGCTGATACGAGCAAATGTTCTTCTAACCGGACAAAAAACAAAATAAAAAGAAACGCCCTTTCTTATTTTTTCTGTTAATAGTATCGCTATTGAATTTTTCAATCGTAATTGTATATCAGCTTGTCAACCACTTGATCAACTAATTATAAAGAGTTTTAAAACGTATTACCGAAGTCTAATTCTCAAACACTTGCTAGTAAACGTTGAAACTGCTGGTACAGTTAATAATGAAAATTACGTGATTGGTTGCAGTTTATTTAGCAAAAACCACTTGAAACCAAGTAATCAAAGAAACAGTTAAAAATTGCTTCCGCAAAGCAGGATTTAAGCAAGAAAACATGCAACATGAAGACCAGTTAAATGAAGCTGATATGCCTAACCCCAGGAGATGAATTACCACTTAATGAAATTTCAGATACCCTCAAAAATAAGAATTTATTGAAATTGACAGATAATGAAAACCTTTACGATTTCTTGAACTCAGATTAAAGTTTATATGTTGAAGATCTAGATTCAGGCCAAACAATTGAAAATCTAGTTGAAATACAAGAACTTTCCGCAGATTCTAATGTCGATGAGGTTCCAGTACCAACAGGGAGATATAGAGTCTTTGGAGGTTCTTTCTAAATCAGAAATACGATTTCAAGTCGCCATTTTAAAGAAAAAGAGGAGTCGAACGACATTACATATATGAATTTTTGCGACCTTGAAGTGACTTCATTTCATTGTTTTGTATTCAGTCAAATGAGACCATCTGAGAAAAAAGTCAGTCAAACAGGTCCATAGACATTCTTTCCCTGGCCTGTCCATCTTTCAACGTCGCCCGATACCTAACCCGGTCAGACGTTGCAGCGCGGCCACGGCATAGGAAACACTATGCTGTTGCCGCGCAAGCAGGAAACACTGCTCGTGCAGCAGTAATACGTATAGTACCAGAACAATTACTAACGAAAGCCCAAGGGCCAATGTACGGAGAAATCTATGAGGTGTGAAGTATGCTTAATAGGTGCGTAGAATTACCAAGGTGGAAAGCATATAAGTATACTAACATAAAAAAATTGAGATATACCCTCTCCACCCCGTATGAGATATGCCTAGTGTTTTTATATTCAAGGTCCTCTGGACTTACCTTTACTTCTCCCAGTGTGTGAATCGCTGACAGCCCACTGTTTTCAGCCAAAGCCAAAGGAATAGTTTCCAAAGCTTCAGCAAATGCTCTGTAAGCGTATTGCTCCAATGAAGCCAGTTGATCTGCTTGAGATGCTACGGCCAAGCTGCATGCTATTTCTGCAGCACCACCACCATACACAACCCTTGGTTCCTGAAAAGAAAGCGGCATTTATATAGTTTCAATTATTATATCAGAAGGAAGACTGATCTTTTCCAACTACGGTTGACATCTGTCACAACATACAGGGTGTGCGCAAAGATGGGAATTTCCTTTACACGGTATATAGATCGTAAAAAAATAAGCGGTTTTTCCTACTAGCATATACACCAAAGTCTTGAGATAACCGGGATATTCTCCGCGAAATCAATCAAACCTAATCCACTCCTGTATCTCGATCAGATCAGCGTGAGACGGCACGATGCACGTCAGTACTCAGCCCAGGCGCCAGCAGCGTAGGTAAACAAAACATTTACCAAATGGGCTCAAAAAAAAACCTTGGCACACTCGTACAGAAACAATCAACTTGTCGATATGATTTTAATTTACGGTGTCTTCAGAATGCTACCGAGGCTTCGCGAGTGTATGCAGATCGCTTTCCCAGACGTAATCCTCCAGGGCCAAATCAATCCAAATCAATTTGTTTACCTCGTACAAAGAGCTGGGGATACATGTCGTTTGCAGGAAGGTCGAGTAATCTGAGGGAGAAGTTTTGAATCTCGTAGAAGAAAATCCTTCAACAAGCACTAGGGAAGTGACTGGACAAGTGCAAGTTTCCAAGGCTAAAGTGTAGCAAATGCGCGATGATGCATTGTACCTTTTTTACGTACAATGTGTACAAGCCCTCCAAGCTGAGGATTTTCCTGCAAGAATGCATTTTTGAGTGGTTGTTGCAACAACACGAAATTACCCTGAGTTTTTAAAGTCCATATTAATCACGGGCGAATCAACCTTCACGCATAACGGGGTGGATAACTTGATAAACTGATGTGTAGTCATTGCAAAATCCTCACCTAGTCCGTGGGTCACATTTTCAACAAACATTTTCGTTGAACACAGCGCAGGACCCTCGAGAAAGAGGCCGTCCATAAAAGTCGAAAACCGACAGTTCAATGCAAGGTCGTTTGGGCTGGCATGATAAATGGAATGCGCATTTTGTTCTTCCGAATCGGCTGCACGGTTTAGAATACCTAAACTTTTTAAAACATTCTACCAATACTGGTAGACGTTATGCCTTTGAGTGGAAGACGATCAATGTGGGTTTCTCAATGACGGTGCGCCCCATTTTAGACGCGTACTACGTGGTTACTTAAACAGGGGTGCTGGCGGTCCAACGTATGAATTTAAGTGAGAAAAGTAAGTCGTAAGAAACTAGTAAGGAATATTGAATGTATACAAAAAAATTATACAAAGTCAATTTTTGAGAAATCGAATATTATAATGGCAAATTTAAACGGATAATATAAATGAAAATGTGTGAAAAAAAAAACGAGAATAACTCATATAAGACCTTTGTCTCTTTAAGTAAGCAAAAATAATTATTCATATGTTTGGATATTTTAAGATCAAATCCCTACCGATGCATAAAAGAAACATAAAACTATAAAGAATTCTTATAAATGCGGGAAACGTACTTATATCTATTCTTGTCCAATTTGCTTGCACCTACATTTTTGTAAACTAATGTTAAAAAGTTGAATTTGATATAAAGGCTGTTTCAGAACTATGGGATCAAACTTGTAGGGGTTATTCAGTGTAACAGTAGAAAACGTTTGAGTATGGGGACCCATATCCGGAAAAGTGTCATTACGGCACTACGGCCCTAAGACGCGTTAAAATTTAGAAAGACGATGAATTGCGTAAATAGGATTTAATGCAATTAATTTTTGCCTTTTGTACATGATATCATCACAACAATTGTTCAAAATGTCTTCCTCCAACCTGAATAGACCGTTCCTGTGGGGACATGTAAAGTCTTTGGTTTACGAAACTCCAGTAGAAACAGAGCAAGACTTAATTGGACGAATTACAGCAGCATTTGAAATAATTCAAAACGAGTATCAAATTTTTAGTCAAGTCAGCCGAAATCATGTGCGACGTTTAAATCGGTGTATTCAGGTTGGAGGAAGACATTTTGAACAATTGTTGTGATGATATCATGTACAAAAGGCAAAAATTAAATGCATTAAATCCTATTTAGGCAATTCATCGTCTTTCTAAATTTTAACGCGTCTTAGGGCCGTAATGCCGTAGTGACACTTTTCCGGATATGGGTCCCTATACTCAAATGTTTTCTACTGTTACACTGAATAACCCCTAGAAGTTTGATCCCATAGTGCTGAAACACCCTGTAGTTATTATAGATAAGTATTTTTCACACAATAGTTGACTAAATCATCAGACCGTAAGACCTAGACCACCTGTCATGAGGAATCAGGCTCTATTCATTGGGTTTCTATTACCACGTTCTGGCTTTATCATCAGATCGTCTCCATATCATAATAACATTGCATTGGCAATTATTGTCATTTTAAGCGTCCAATGTATTGGATTAGAATGACTTCACTTTGCGTATTGTGTTTCTTTCATCAAACCCTTTCATTTGATATGCATAATATATAGGAATTATTAATTGATATTTTGCAGCGGCCACCTTATTGGATTTAGAATGACGTAACGCTGTTTACTGTATCCCTCTCATCAAGCCCTTTCAGTCGATAACCATATCATAGGGGTTACAATAGAAATTATAACCGTCATCTTGCGGAGGTCGACATTTGATTTGAAATGACACAAAATTATAAATCGACAAATTGCGACCTTGATATTGATTTAGAATGACGTCGGTTTGCTTATTATGTTTCTCTCGTCAAGCTCTTTCATTTGATATATCATATACGAGGGCGGTTCAATAAGTACCCGTGTTAGAAATGGAGACACCATTAAAAAAAATATTTTTCAACATAGTCTCCTTTTAGAAAGATACACTTTTCCGAACTTTCCTGCCATTTCTTTAACCCCTCCAGAAAATAGGTTTTGTCTAACTCTCCAAAATACGCCTCTGTCTCGTCGATGACTTCCTCGTTTGAGTTAATTTTTCCCCGCGAGCCATTTCTTTATGTTAGGGAACAAGAAAAAGTCGCAGGAGGCCAGATCGGGTGCGACAGCACTCATAACGCAATTCATGCAGTTTGGCGGCGACAACTCTTTTTGACAAATTTGGCCTTGTCTCTTGTGGTCCAATAACTCACTGTAGTATTGTCCAGTGATCGTTGTTTCCTTTTCTAAAAAAATCCATAAGGATGACGCCGTTCGCATCCCAAAAAATCGTCGCCATGCCCTGCCGGGTGTCCTAGTCGCTCCTAATAAAAAATGGATGTTCGTCCACGTTTTAATTCGTTGAACCAATATCTAACTGTGGTCATAGATGGCGAAGTGTCGCCATAAACAGCATTCAACTTTGTTTTTATCTCGTCGCATTTTTCCCATCCAAAAACAAAAAGCGAATTACTGAACGATACTGCTCTTTTTCCATCTTAGCGAAAATCACGAAACACGTCTTACTCGAATGGCTACCAAATCCAAACTAACCCATCAATCAGTCTGAAATTTGTTGTGCCGACGTTTGATAGATGACAGCATACGATAATAACACCAAGTTCTCTCAGAAACGCCCGCTGCCGTAAAACACGGGTGCTTATTGACCAAGCCTCGTACTATGGAAACGATAAATCGCCATTATGTAGCATAAGCCATAGCAGATTCAAAATGGCGGCAGTTAATTCATTACATATTGTTACACGAACCATGCAGGCATACAAAAATTCAGCTAAATTGGGAAAATTCAGTTTCAAGATTTGTCCCACACAAGCATATTTCCGAACTAACAGTTACTTGTACAAAGCTTATAAAAAGTGCCACTGTTAATGCAATTTATATTAAAATCCTGGCTCAAATTAAACCAGGGGAAAACGAAAATGGTTCAGGGTAAATTCGTATTTTCATAAAAGATTTTCTATTGTATTGCTTACCGTTTCCGAATTTGAAGTCCCTAGTGCTAGTAGCGGACAAAAGCTTGGAAACATACTAATTTTTAAAAAGTGCGCTAATTTTTTATTCTTTATTATTAAGGACTATTTTTTTCTCATATAGTCTTGAGGATACAAATGACATTTTGTGTTTGCTGTGGTACTAGAGACTAGCATTAAAATACCTTCATAGTATTTTATGACCAAAAATGAGACGAAAAAAGTATGGAAACATATTTTTTATTACAAAATTAAATACAATAACTCTACAAAAAGATTTAAACAATAGTGTTTAGCTAGCCTTTAGTATTCAACACACTGTCTGACATCTGCTGCTCATAGAAGATGCCAATTTATTACAGACGATCTTGGGATATTTTGCCTAATATTTTTTACATAACCAAATAATTTTTTTAAGTTTTTTTTTGTCAGTTGCCTTTTAACATGCTCCCAGGGATGTTCTATAGAGTTTACGTCCGGGAATTGCGAAGGCCATGTAAGAACATTAACATTTTTTACTCTTAACCAGTCCTTCACGAATTTTGAGGTATACTTGGGGTCATTATCTTGCTGGAATGGAATCACAAAGGCCTCACTTCTTCAGCAAAAGGGAGCATGTGTTCACTAAGAATATCTTTGTAAAGTTTTTGATCCATTTTCCCAACAATTTTAACCATTGGACCCGTTCCAGAACCAGAAAAACAGCCACAAACCAAGATGTTGCCTCCACCGTGCTCAACTGTTGGCAACTGATACTTTTTGTCTAATCTTTTTCGTATTGTCTCATATATGCCGTACCGTCAGATCCAAATAAGTTAAATTTGCTTTCAACGCTCCATAAAACTGTATTCTATTGTTGTCCGGTCCAAGTTAGATGAGTTTTAGCAAATTCGAGCCCAGCAATACGATTTTTTTGTTAAAATGAGTGGCTTTTGCTCTGGACACCTACCAAAAAGCCCAAGCGTCTCTGCACTGTTCTGACGAGAAAGATTGTCGGCACCCTCCTCTACGATCTATGTGGCTGTCATTGGAGGATCTTCATGGGACAAATGTTTAATGTAGCGATCAAAAATATATTCAGTTTTTTTTCGGTCTTCCGCACCTGGGCCGCGTTGCTGTTGATCCGTATTCTTGATATTCACTCATAATTTTCAAAATCGTCCCTTTGTTCATTTTTAATCTTTGAGGAATGTCAACATTTCTGACATCACTTCTAAATAATTCAATCACTTTGTCTCTTGAATCTTTTGAAAATTCTTTTACTCTTGCCATTCTCACTGATGTTAATATTTATCGCACGCAATATCAGAGTATCGCATAACGAATAAATACGGCAAAACTGAGATGTTTCCATACTTTTGTCGTTACAGAATCTGAAGTATTTAAAAATACGCGTGTTCCGATTTTCAGAGAATTTGAATATTGATAACATAAACCTTGTATTAGTACGGGAGACAAAGGTAGAGTTTAATATTTATATTATCTGTTCTTGCACAATTTTAATTTAGTTATATGAAATAGTTCATAATAATGTTAAAAGATATTTGTTTCCAAACTTTTGTCCGCTAGTGTATATAGAGTGCTTTTAGCAAAGCTGAATTAAAATTCAACGTAGATTTCAACTAATCCCAGTAATTTCTCAGTTAATACATATTGGTTCAGCTTGGGGAGAACCCTGTACACGAACAACTTTGTCGTAGTTAATCTTTACTTTATTTAATTTCGCGGGGCTTGAGAGAACGAGGACAGCTCCTTCAAAAACGCTCATATTCAATACAAATACGTACAGAGAGAGCGGAAATAGTGAGAAAAGTGAATGTTTTCAATGAAAAGTGAGATGGAACGAAAAAAGTGAGTCGCCAGCATACCTGCTTAAATGAGCAATTTCAGAATATAAATTTGTAGCAAAAATCATAACCTGTAAATACTGCAAACAGATAGTATGGCATAAACTGGACAGTAACGTAGCTAAAAGTACAGACAACTGACATAATGAGTTATGGCGTCACTGCAAAGCGCACTAAAATGCGTAGTTTAAAACAACATCATTGACATTGCAGTTTCGAATATTCAATTAAAAATAAATATTAACATTTCCTTGAATGTAAACTGTATTTGCGTTATTATATTAATATAAATAAATGACAGAAAACACAAAAAATCGTGCATATTCCCCATTCACACCATCTTAAAATTGCCAGTTAGTTTTTTTCCAACATCTACCTACCTGAACCAAGCTTCTGATCACGCATAACGCGTCATGAAGACTCCTCTTGGCTTCGTCAACCAACATCTGATTTCCACCTCTCACCAAAATAGTGACAGCACGCGAGTTGCTGCACTCTTCTATCACAAGCATACGATCTTTGGTCGTGCCAAAAGCGATCTCACGTACCAAACCGGCACTGCCTAGCTTCTCAGGGGTGAGCTCTTCAAATCTTGGCACGATACGGCCTCCTGTCGCTATGGCGATCAGTTCGATCTCTGGACCTCCCACCTATAAAAAAAATGATAATCCATATGCGCATTCGAAAGTTTTCGATCCTACAACAGGTCCACGACAACGCGTGGAGACTAACGAGGTATAATTTGAACAGTACCTAATCTAATGACAGTTTCATCTTGTTAAATGTACCACAGTTGGGTTTTTTATTTTAGTCTTAACTAGGACTATTGACTGAGCTTAAAACCACATTTTCAAAAAAATAACACGTGTTGAGATTGTTATTCAAACAAATTTATTGTATACTGTTTGTTTCACGAGTATCCATTACGTCGAAATAACAGCTGATTATCTAGTAGTATTTCAAAATTCCCCAGATCGACAAGTGACACAATTCTGATTCTGGCGGATCCGTCAACGCCAGGTAGACAGAACCGTAAATTGTTTACTTTTTTTGTACGCTACAGATGAATTTTGTACTAGTTAACAAATCTTTATTTAGAAAAGTTCCTTTGCATACAAAAAAAATGCTAAAAGGTAGGTATGACATGAGATAAAAAATGACTTTGTTAATAATCTCTACTTTTCAGATCTTGAAACACCATGTGATTTGAATACATTTTAATCAACATTGTCCGATACGAACTGTACGTGTTATGTCAAGACATAATTAAAGTAGTTAAAAACTGTAATATTATGACATACGCTGACACATATGTATTTATCTTTTAATCCCCAAAATTCTGAATATTCAGCTTCTCTAATTAGTAATGATTTAAGTGCAATTTCAAATTATGCGAAGATTGAAATAGAGATGATCTTAGCAGCGACTTGCAAGTCGCCGGGATAACGGTGACAGCGACCTTAAAGTCGCCGGTAGATTTAGCAGCGCTTTAGGTCACTGCTTATCTATGGTCGCTGCCAGTAGCCAGCGACTCCCTGGCGCTGATTAAATTACTCGATATTTGGCGGCGGTTATCCATTGATATTAAGGAGGTGTAGATGTACAGGTTCCTGAAGATTTGAATTAAACTATATTTAAGGTTTTTGTTTTTAACAATATTGAGCACAAAACACATAAAATCATAAAAATACATAAAATATCTTTCTATGAATCTTAAAAAGTAAAACAAAATACTATTTTACCAGTCAAGATAAAACTTTTAAAACATAACAAATGTAGTATAAAAATGCTTCTTTTATATGTTAAACATTGCTTAATAAACGAAACATTTTTCTATGAAACAAGAACTCACAACAATAAAAATAAAAACTAACAAAATAGGTTAGGCTACGCTGTAGCGACCTTGTACTTCCCGCGCGATGATCGCGAACACGATGTGTATATGCTTCCTGGCAGCGACCGCGACCGAAACAGCGTTACAGCTACCGATCAGTGGTTACCGATACCGATACTTCCAAACAGCGATCTGGGTCGCTGCTTCATGGAGAATCAGGTCGCCGGGACTAACGGCGACCACTCAAGTCACCGGGAAAGGTCGCCGGTACCGATATATCGATCATCTCTAGATTGAAACTTAACGCTGAAAAACCTAGAGTTTTTCCAGCCCAAAAACGAAATATACTTTGCTAAAAAATAATATGCACCTTTTTATTGAAAAATACAAATTTAAATTTAGTGACTGTGTTACAAACCTCGGAATCATTTTTGATGACAAACCAAGATGCCGTGAGCATGTCAGTCAAATCTCTAGAAACTGTTATTTATCGTTACGACTTATTCAGGGTGACTTTGAAGTTGAGTCATTAATTTTCAGATAATGATTGTAGAAGGAAGATAAACCAAACATTGTGTGTAAAAATAAAAAAAATAAAAATTTTTTACCTTGTTTTATAAAGTATCCTCCCGACAAGTATTTCAGTGCGGACCTGTATTTGATCGTGAGGTCTTGGAGCACCGGCATGCCCTCCCCTGTGAGGTCCTAAGTGACCTGATTCACGAGCCCGATGTACTACATTAACAAAGGCACGAGGGGTTGGTTGCACTCGATTGGGAAACCGATCCGCATAAACATGTGCCATTTTTTATTTCGTTTGAGCCACGCAGCAAACACCACTATTCACTCACGCGTTACCGACTGACACATTGACTGAATAAAAACATCGTGATCAGCGTTTCAAATTCTTTCGCTTTTTTGGCTATAACTTTGTTACTTTAATTTTACCACAAAAATGTTAAAGGAAAAAAACATTTCTTTTGATCAGATCTACTCACTGTTAAATGACTCAACTTCGAAGTCACCCTGTATATAACAAACAAAGACATCATGACTAAATCTATTAAAAAGGCGTTATGCGAAAGCTTAGTTAAATCCAAAATACTATATTGTATTACCCTTTATTTTCCATGTTTATATCAAACCACTGCAAAACGACTACAAAAAAATCCAAAATAATTGTTGCCTTCTGATGAATAATTTAAAAAAATGTGACCATACTTCAAGGAGCATTGTTATGATGGGCTGGTTAAACGTCGTTGGGCTTTTCCAATATCATTTAGCCTCTCTTGTACATAAAATTGAAAATAATAAAAAGCCATTATACTTAAAGTAGTACCGTTATCAGATCTCCGCATTTATTCACCATGCCACACCACAAGACAGCATTATTTAACCGATCTTTCACATTTAACGCACTTACGCTGAACAACTTGAAACCAGAAAGCATAAAACCATTATTTTTAAATAGGTTCAAATGTTATTTGAAAGATCACCTGCATAAATAAATACTTTTTTGTGTATGTGCTTGAAATCTCAAATTTAAATCTATTCACATAATTTTACTGTTATATATTTTTTCTGATATTTGGGACAAGTGGAAGAATAGCTACGTGAGCTAAACTTCACCCTTTTATAATGTATAAATAAAGACGATTATTATTATTATTTTAAAGGGCAATGGATCAGACATATTTGAACTATAACGGGCAATTAACCAGAAACACGTGCCTATATCATTTTTACATGTAAAATTACAGCTATTGGAAAGGACAACACAGTCTATTCTCAAGACTTACCTCGGAAACAATAAATCCAAGATAACCTACAACAATTTTCTAAAAAAAAAACATTTTTCTTTCCGTATTTCGTATATTTTATTATCAAAATTCCCAGTAACAATAAGTATCTGGATATGTGAACAACAGATCTGAATACGGTAAGTTTTACCAGATTTACATCCGATTCATTATTACCAACGTTACAGACTAATACAAAGATATCACTTGCTGCTCAGCAGACGTGAAAACGTAATGGACACTCGTGAAATAGGGTTTAGGTTCTTTTTGTTTACCCTCGTTATTATGTATCGGATCATGAAAAATTAAAAAAGTGATTGTGATAAATATGTTTTTTGTGATTATTTTTATATATTTTCGAAAGCCGACTGAGTTTTATAATGGTCATTGAGAGGTCGTAGCCAACGAATCATGATGAGCGCGCAGTCATCTGTATGGATACATTTCAACTACCCCGAACTATTTGCCTAAAAAATGAAGATCTTTAGTCTGATTTTTTATTTAATCTGAAATATTACTATTGAAAAAGCGTAAACATTTTTCGCATAAATTATACGTTTTTAATTTATTACAAAAGTGCATGGTTTCGTTTTTCACTCCGATACTTAAAAATCAAAAAAGTAGAAATAGAGTTCAAGATAAGGCGTGCAAATGAAAGACCTGTTACGTTAATCGATAAAAAAATATCGTCCTTTCTTCGATAAAATAAAATTATCATCCTTAAAAATGGTGAACTAGCAGGATGTCAAAGTTGAGCATTTTTGTACATTGAGTCGCATGAAACTCAACAACCAGTTATCAATCTTCTTGTCGTAATAGGATCCATTCAAAAAGTAATAAAATATGGAACATTTTGAAAAATGTCAAAAATTTGTCACTTTTTTAAATCTGATTGTCACATGTTTTATTGCACATTTAGACACATCCTTACAAAAGAATTTATATAACTACTATAACACTTTGCTAATTAGTTGTTTTTGAAAGCTGGTTATTTTATATTCTAGTGCTATAAAATACCCGCAAGTAGCCTCAAAATGAGGTATCACATGACCCCCAATTTCATATAAAAAAATGTTCCAAAATGGAGCTCAGCCGCCAACTTGAAAACTTCATTAGCCACTTTTACGCTAAAATATAGTATATATCCGTCAATTTCATTACCCCCAGCTTCAGCTTGCTTACAAAAAAAATTGAAGAGGGAACATTTTTGAAAATCACTGTATAATTGCTACTAAGTACCTGCCATTCGAACCGAAAAGTATTCTGTATATGACTTAAAATAAACTTTATGTATGAATGTTGAAATTTTCACGGATTTATAAGCAAGTACATGATGGCAACTAAAAATTATATAAAAAAATTAATGGAAATACATAACATAATTTCCATATTCATTTTTTATTCGTATGTGAAATAAAATATGTACTTGTGTATTGTGTGTATGTTGACGATTTATTTAGCATTGTCAATTTTTTTAATCTTGAACACGTTTATTTTTATTATTATTATCATCTATTTATATTTTTTTTGTAATTTTACATTCCTGTCCATCAAAATTACATCACTATGAATTTTGGGTATTCATAAAGTGATTTTTTAATTTCACCTTAAATATTTTTAAATTCAAGCACTGTTTCATATTATTATTCGATTTATCAAATTCAAATAATCCCTTTTGAAATAAAGATTTGTGAGTTATACTACTATTACAATTTTGCAGATGAATTTTTTCTTCATTTAACCACTGCAGTTTTTTAAAATGATTCTCATAGCTTTATTTTGTAGAATTTGTAATTTTGAAAATATGTTTCCATTTGCTGTAAACAAAATAGTTAAATACAAAAATTGGGAAGAATTTTTTTGAAATACATACTGAGAGTATGGGAAACTCTATGGAATTTATTATTTTTATATTTTTGAAATAATGTATCATAATGCTCTTGAAACAATAGTTTACTATGCACATATACAGGGTGTTTCAAATTCGACACTCTCCATTGGGATCTCGAAAACTGTATGAGATACGAAGTCGTTTGAATGGGGGCAAAGTTGCGTATTTAGGCAATCAACCAAATGCCGCTTAGAAAGGTTCGAAATGCAAAGTACTTCCGGAGAGAGACGGAAAAAACAGATTCTTTCCAAAAACGTTTTAATTTTGTCCTGACTTTGTAGTGGGATATAAAATAACTTGCACATTAATATTACCACTTTTTCTCCTCTACAAGATGGCATAATTAGAATTTCAATATGAGTTTTGCCTCTAGTCCTCCAGCATCAACTTTATTTTTTCTTATTGACGCCATACTGGAATTTTGCACAGATAAATAGTTTTTATTTATGATTTCAAAAATGTAGAATACGTCATACATTGACATTGCCAAACCTTAGTTACTTCAAAAAAGCAGTTTTCTAGGTCGTCCTTGAGACTATCAGTCATTTGTTTCGCATACGAGATTTATCCCAATATCTCTTATTTTTTTCCGACTTTATTTGAGATGCAATTTTAAAATAAAATGCATGTTGCTCTGTTACTTATTCTCCTCTACAACATGGTGTAGCCAAATATTGAATCCGACATTATTTCTTTGTATTTCCTACAGTTTCCGACATCCCAATGGTGAGGGCGAATTTGAAACACTCTGTATACCCAGATATTTGAATGATTCGACTACGCCAATTTTATCATCATTAATCATGAGCCTAACTGTACTGTCACCTAAATGTTTATTTATTTTCTTACCCATCTGACAGCTGGTAACTGCTGCTGCAACAACAAATGATTCGCCTCATCATCAAATCCCCATTGGCATATCGCCAATGTCGCGCCGGCTTTCTTGACCAATCCTACGATTTCCTTGAACTTGTCCTGCTCGTACTGGCGCAGTTCCTTGTATCCTTCTACATCAGTCACGTCCAACTTGTGTTTGGTCTTGGGTTTCGGTGGCTCGAACGGGCAGGTGAGTATGGCGAGTTTGACATTACGAAGTTCCTTTGGCATCTGAGGATGCGACATTGTCTTGTCTATGACTACGCCGCGGACTAGAGTCGTGTCTTCTAGGCGACCTCCTACCTGGAATGGATAATAACAATAACATGAAAGTACCACCACCGCAGTGCTGTTCAGAAATTAGAGCTACGTTCTCACGGGGGAAAAACACGACACTATGACAAAAGCTAGAGCTACTGTCTCAGCAACGGAACAGAATCAGTTTCAACGATCTGCATCATACCATTCCTTGGATGTCTTGTGACAGTTCCTTTCACAGAAACTTCGTTTTTTGGTTTCTATGGATAAATAATAAATACTTTTTTTTTCTTTTTTGTTCCAAACAATGACAAAAATTATAGAATTATACATCTAGTTCAACTGTTAATTTTTTGCTTTACCACAATATTTCCAAGTAGATAGTCATAGAATTTTAACAAAACATGAAGCTGAGTACTGGTGTCAAGATTTCCTATCAGAATTTGGCAACTATTTATTGGATGGGATAAATAACTAATGGTCCACGACACAATTTTGGTGCCCGTTTAATTTTACCGACAGGCGTATAGTATCAAAGAATACAGAGTTAAGAGTAGAAGAGGCACCTTTGATCTTCGAACTTATAAAAGTGCCGATATTTTCCCTAGAATTGGGATCCTTTTTTTAGGTCCCTCCCTAGAATAGGTCTGGCACTTTTTTATAGCTGTATACAGGGTAGTACTGTGGTGCTTTGGCACCCGTACAGAATAAAAAAGAAATGTTTGTAATGGCATCGAATAATTGTGTTTATACAGGTCATTATTATTCTTAAGGCGACAATAGATAATAAATATTTGCTCAAATATATTGTGACTTGAAAAATAGTTCTTAGCCCCATGTCACTGATTAGCGATTTTCCACCCGCCGTTGTGTCTTCTTTGTCATTGCGTAATCTCAGTAAACACTGTGTCGTTTTTGTCAAAACTTGGAATACATTGTATGCATTCTGTATGATCACAAATTTTAAAATGAGTGTAATGTAAAAAGTGCTGAAGTAAACAAACCTTGTTTTTTTAATGTGCATATTTTCAAGACTTGTATACAATTTTTTACAGGGTGGCCAATATACTGAATGATTTAAATTGCAGGCCATTTTTGATACACGCATTTCAGTAGGTGGCGCCGTACTAGTTGTTTAAAGCACATGTGTCCAATCCATCATACGATCCCACACCGCGTCCGTATTGTTAAAACGTTTTGCTTAAATAATGAGTCGATTGTTGCAACGACAAGATTTCGGTCGAAATATGGTGCCCAGTTTCAACACCATTCGTCAGTTGGTACGGAAGTTTGAATAAACAGGTGAAGTTAAAGACTTGCCAAGGTCGGGCCGTGTTCTACCTGTTCGTCCTGCGGAAAATATCGAGAGTTCGTGAGCGCCCTGAGACGTCTACCAGACATCGTTCTCAAGAACTGGGTATTAGTCGAACGTCATTATGCACTATTTTAGAAATAGAACTTGCGTTTGCGGCCATACAAATTTCAGTTCACCCAAGAACTACAACCTAGTGACCATGAAAGTCGCCAACAATACAGTCATCTAATATTGCAGCTTAATGTCCAAAATAACGATTTTTACCGACAACTGATAATGAGCGATGAAGCCTACTTCGATATGAACGAATTTGTTAATAAGCAGAATTCTCTCATATGGGCATTAGAGAACCCTCGTGTCATCCATCAACGACCACTACATCCTCGTCGAGTCACTGATGCGGTGTCTGGTATCGACGTGTCATTGGACCTTACTTCTCTGAAAGTAATCCTCTTAGTGTCACTGGCGAGCGCTACCGTGATATTGTGTAAAACTTTCGGTCTCCTCAAATCCAACAATTTAACCTGCAAAACATGTGGTTCCAGCAGGACGGAGCAACTTGTCACAGCTAGGGAAACAATTAATCTTTTGGGAACATTTCCGGCACGTTTAATTTCTTGATTTGGTGATGTCCACTGGCTACCAAGACCACCGGATTTACCGACTCCTGACTATTTTTATGTTTTATAACAAACCACATACTGTAGAGCAGCCGAAGAACAATATTACGGAAGCGATTGATAGTATTCCTCCCGAATACCTACCAAAATGTGATGGAAAATCTACAGGAGGACATTTATCGGATATTATTTTTCATACAAAGTTTCAATAAAAGGTTAGGATGAAAAAAACGGACGTATTTTATTTCATATCATAGATATTCAAGATAAAATCCAGTCAGTTACATTTCAGCCACCCTGTAGTTTTCAATAACATATTACTACTTGTAGGAATGTATGCATCTCCATAAAGTCAATATAGTTAACAGTTAATACAGCTATTTATACATATACACTAGGAATTATTTTTTTGTCCTTGGAATAATAGTGACCTTGTACTAAAACTTCATTAAAACTGAATTACTGTTCTGAAGTAAAGGAAACAATTTCAAGAGTTTTTCCATGACTCATGATTTTCAAGAAATCTTATCGAATTCATACTTTTACGAGATCCTGAATGCATAGGTGATATTTACCTCATCCCACCATTTGAAATATAGTTCGTGACTATCAAAATAGTGTGACAGCAGCGTCTAGTATCGTGTAATTTGGTTAGTCATTACTCACTAATATCTGGAATTTGCAATTACAATTCCACCACCTCGTCTTTTGAGTGGTAAACAAATGTTGGAAACGTTAAAGCTAGAAAAATAAGTTTTTCGCGTATATAAACAAACTATGAAGAAAAGACCTTCAAAATGACACTCAAAAAAAGTTGGCGACAAACATAATACAAATTGTTGAGTACTTAAAAGAGGACTTCTTTCCCGTAACGCATTTTCAAGTAAAATTTTGATTTTGGCTACTGCAGCAAATTGAATTTTATTCTGCAAAACTTGTTCTTGAACGACTTTAACTCATACATATTTCCTGATTCTGGATTATTGCATTAAAAGGTGTTTGGTAAGACAAATTCAAAAGTGTATAGGGATCCACCGAGTACTCGGTTTATACCCGGTACTCGGCCCGTTTTACCGAGTAACAGGTTTCGCCCAAGTATTAAATTACTCGTGGGGTAATTACTTGGTCTTAAGACAACACTGAGCTTAGCATTGCTTTTTGAATCCTGGTTTGCTGTTTGATCATTCATATAAACGCTCAAAAAAAAACAACAGCAAAATGCAACAAAACTCAATAACGAGGCTCTTGCGTTCCTTCAAAGGAAACATTTACTCAAACGAAGGGATAATTTAGGTTTGGCTCATCAGAAATCTAAATTGGTGCCGCCATGACACCATGCAGTCTTAACTTGAGTTTCTTTTGTATAATCCTCACAAAGGCAGCCCAGAAAATCAAAACCCAAAAAGTAATGCCAAAATACGTTTTCAATTCCAAGTCAATATTGTTGCTGCTGAAATCCACAACACAAAACAGAAAATACTCTATTTCATTCACAAAGCCGTAAAAGATGCATACTGCTTTTTTGTTTTACGAGTAGGTAACGCCGCCATCAGTTCATAAAGTTCAGCGTTTTTTTGCGCTTCAGTATAAAATACATATACAGGGTGTTCCTTAAAGATATGCGAATATTTAAGGGTGTGAATCTACATGAAAAATTATTGTTAGTTTGCTTTATAAACTATGGCCCAAAAATGTTTCCTTACAAAAACTCGGAGTGTTGAAGTTTTAGGAAAAAAATGGAAATTAATATTTTCAGAACCGGTTCAGATATTTCACTGATATTTAATAATTTTTAGCTTTAACAGTGATGTGCGTACGGGTATTGACTTCGATATTTCTTAAGGTAAAAAAATGGTACGACAATGGTTTTTTGCCAAATAAAAATTATTTTTGAATTCCCCGTTCAATTTAAAACAAATGATTTCTCGTGAATTGTTTTTCTTCGATGCGAGATTTTTGAGTAAAAAAATAAAAATCGTTCTATTGTCTAACTTGCAAAATTATTATTAATTTAATTGAAAAAATTAAACACAGGGGTAATGAATGACAACTGACAATATAAACATAACATTAAAACCATCGAAATGATTACAAAAATTGCTAAAAATGTCCCCCTCCACTTAGTATGCATGCTTCCGCCCTCCTTCTCATGGAATTGCGCACTCGTTGAAATATCCCTGGAGTGTTTTTTACTCTTAATTCCTCTACGTTAATCGAAAATTGGTGTTGGAAATGGGTTTGGGTTACGGCATAGGGATTTTCGTCTGCCCACAAATGATTATTATGGAAATTCTGAATGGCATTTCGAGAAAAATTAGCTCCGTCCGTGAACAGAATCCGAGTCAAACTGCGAATTTTGTGTAATTTTTTGAAGACACCACTGACAAAAGGTCACACGCCTTGAAAAATCAATGGAAAGTAATGCCTGTACTCTTAAAATATGATAAGGTTAACAAAAATAGCACTAAAATTCTCCAAACAATTTGATCGCAAATATTTAAGTGTCTATCGATCTTCCTCGTAGTCGTTTCAGGACGTTCTTCGACCTCGTGCAGCACTACTTCCTCAATTTCAAGTGTTCTCACACTTAGAGTTCTACCTTCAAATGTTCCTTTTCGGACAGAATGAGTTTCAACAAGACGACGATGAATATAAGAAAATTTTCGACTATATGGCAAAGCACGATCGGGATATATCTGGTGACAAATCCGTGTGGCTTGCTCACCATTACCGTCAGCAAGGCCATATACGTAATGCATTTCCGCCGTTTCCGCATTTGAATAATTCACTATTATTAACAAGATTGTAAAAACTGAATAATTAAAAAGTTGTCACAGCGAACAGATTTGAATAACAGAGACTTGCCAGATGTCAATATTTAGTGCTAAATTGTATTCATTAATTTTCTCGGGCAATAGAACGGTTTTTATTTTTTTACTCAAAAATGGCGCATCGAAGGAAAACAATTCAAGAAAGATCATTTGTTTTAAATTCAATAAGTTTTATTTGGCAAAAAACAATTGGCGTACAAGTCAATACCCGTACGCACGCCACTGGTAAAGCTAAAAATTATTTATGCATTGAAAAATATGCAACTTTATTAACTTTCACTACGTACTAAATATGAGTGAAATATCTGAAGCGGTTCTGAAAATATTAATTAAATTCCATTTTTTGCCTAAAACTTCAACACCCCGAGTTTTTGTAAGGAAACATTTTTGGACCGTACTTTAAAAAGCAAACTGACATTAATTTTTCATGTAGATTCACACCCTTAAATATTCGCCTATCATTAAGGAACACCCTGTTTGAGCCGGACTGGTTCGCCAGGTGGTGCGCGAAAACATTTCTGTATCATTCTAAGTTTTAAAGGCAAGTGTAGGGTAAATCTATAATGTTTGAAAAATTACACATAGATGCATAGAATTACCGGGGTTGGGAGCGCATAAATAAACAAAATCAAAGAAATTTTGTATACCCTCCCTCACCTCCTACAACCCCCAACCCTCAAATTTCAACCCCTACAAAAAAAATCCCAAAATGGTCAAGTCCGTTTAAAAAGCAAAAAACGAGCAATTTTTATTGTTTTCGTCATTTGTCCAAAGGGCCGCCACCACTAGACCGATTTCCAAAAACTACAAAACTTTATCATTGTTAGCATCGAAATCCGAGCAGTACTTCTCAAGTTATATGCGGTTATAAAATTAGCGGACACACTGACTAACCAATGGAAATGACTGAAATGTTTTTTCGTGACGTACAAGACCAAAAACATAATATCTCAATTTCGAAATTTTTCGCGATTGCAATACTTCCTCGCCAGTTTTGTCATAGGAAGTAAAAATAACTTTGCGACTAAACAGGCTTTCCATAAACGTAAATATGTTATAAATATCACTAACAGTAACCACAGTAACCCAACGCACTGAGTATCCAATGCCCAGTATTCGAATCGGGTTGGATACTCGGTATTCAGCTTTTAGAAAATTATTATACTTGATCAGTCCCTAGACACTGAAAACCAAATACCACTGACTTCGTAATGTGTACGAGAGAGAAGTGCAAGAAGCGTACAATACGTGTGTTAGAAAGGGATAAAAGCACCTCGTTTGCCTAGCAACCCGACTTCGAGGTCACGGAAGCTATCTGCGTATACTTTATCTGAAGTCACTTGAAACACTGTGAAATACCGGGTGCGTTTTATATATCTATATTTAACACGCTCTGTTGCTGCAAAAATCGCCAAATTTCGCAGCAAATATCCCCCGTATAAGATCAAAGGCAGTTTCACCGGTCCACGTGGAGTAAAGCACGCATATGCGTGGACATAGCCAATGAGAAAGCGTGTATTTCAGAGCTCTGAACAAGTGCAGGTGGCTACTGAAAATTGAAACAGTTTAGCCAGTGCCGTGTAGCGGTGAATAAACGTGTTTTCTTTAGTCTGTCCGTGTTTTTATAGATTTTATTAGTTTGTGTGTTTTTGACTTTTGAATACTCAGTTTACTTGTTGATTTAATTGTAGTGTTGATTGTTCTTGTGTGTCCTAAATATGGCTCTTTGGAGACCTTGAGAAAATGCTCCAAGCCACGAGGAGATGGTTGATGAACCTGTGCAGGCAGAATTCTTTCATAAAGATTTAGAGGAACAGACCCAAAGAGTAATCCTAAATATGTATGATTGTCTGAAAAACGAAAATCCAGATTCCTCACAACATCAAATTTTAAACAGAATTTGTATCCTGACAAAAATCAGTCGGTCTACCATTTATCGGGTTATAAAAAGGGGAGATGTAGTCAACCATTCCTTCCACAGAAAGCGCATAGGGAAAAAATTAAAAAGAATAGACGTGGGTTTTCAGGAAGATATTCGTCGTATAATATACGGATTTTATAAAGAAAATTTGGTGCCCACGTTGGAAATGATACGGGATAAATTAAAAGATTATCATGAAGATTTTTATAATTACAAATGCTTAGACTCACTGCACTGTATTGTAAAACTGTGTGGTTTTCAATACAAAAAATTAGATAAAAGAATGGTGATTATGGAGTCGTCTGATTTACCTGGATGAAACGTGGTATGATACCCATGATGTTGTGCAGTACGGCTGGGTTGACGACAGCAACAAGTGCATTTTAAATGCACCATGCAACCATGGAAAACGAATCATTATTCTCCATGCTGGCAGTGAAAATGGATTTATACCTAATGCCTTGCTGTTATCTGCCAAAAATATCAAAGAATCATGTGCCGACTATCATGAGGACATGACCTCCGACTTATTTGCAAAGTGGATAGAGCAGCAGTTAATACCAAACATTTCCCCAAATTCAGTGATTATTATGGACAATGCGCCATACCATTCCCGACAGAAAAACAATTTTCCGAATACAGGCACAAAAAACAAGACATTATTGATTTTATGAAGGATAAGGGAATGGAAATACCACAAAAATCAACCAAAGCCGCATTATTGGATCTTATTAAAAGACAAAAATTTGAAAAAGAGTATGTTGTTGACAATCTGCTTCAGCAAAATGGCCATGGCCAATAAGAGATGCAGTGTCTCATATTGCTGCCACAGACCTATGGAAGCAGTGTTCTAGGCATATTATTGAAAAAGAAAATGAATATTGTGTTTTGCCTCCTGTAAATCCCGTTGTAATTCCTCTACAAGATGACTCTAGCGACAGCTCCGAAGGCGAGGATGATATATAAATACCTATAATGTAAGTCTTTATATACCTTTTTATATACCTACCTGCTATGTAAATATTTGCCTATGTCAAACGTTGGAATTCTGTAATTTTTCCATTTCTTAACTTTCAGTCAACATAAATTAAACTCCCAATATAAGTATTTTTTATCCCAAATCAAAAAAATAAGAAGATAGTAAAATCCATTTATTGTGATATAAAAACATTATTATTATCGTTCTAAATAAATAACCGCACGCCTGTGATACGTCATGAAATTACAAAGGACGCGCCGACCAAAGGTTTTTATGCTATTTCAAGTGACTTCAGATAAACCATACTCTTTCTAACATACATATCGCACGCTTATCGCCCTTCTCTCTCGTACACATTATGACGTAAGCCAAATTAGAACCTCACTGTATAAGTGACTTAACATACAAATAATTTTTATTCAGTTTCAAAATTACCTTTCCCTCAACTTTGATCAACTCAAAGTTAACATCTTTCTGTTCCAGATCAGCTACAGCCAGTACAGCATTCACAGCTATTTCTGCCATCTGTCGATGGCACTTGTTTATGATCTTTGAGCCTAAAGTTGTCATAGCAACTTTGATGAGTGGCTCAGTGTTTTCTGCAGATACAGGAAACAGCTCAGCAATTTTGTCCAGATGAGTAACAGCTGTTTGACAGGCTAACTCAAAACCATCAGCAATACGGATGGGGTGAATGCCACGATCCAGGAGGGCTCCAGCTTGCTCTGAAAGTTAATTTAGACGTTTTATTATATGAACAACAGAATCAAAATTTTGTATTGTACAGTACAGTACAAAGACTACATAAGGAGAAGTGTGTCTGTCCAACATAAGTTCTTACGAATTTTGGCTTACAAGACGGGTATCATTGTCGATAATCACGATTATACCTGTAGCTTGGTAATGGAACATTTCAAAATCTTAACTCTGGCCAAGAGAAGTATATTATCTAATTTATGTTTTCTTCACAGAATCTTGAACAATTAAATTGCCTCTTTTACCTTTCACCGAAAATCAATATAAATGTACTGAAGAGTGAATCCTAGACAATGTATGTACTTCAATATTCCGTTTTGTAGAACTAATGTTGGTTAAAACTCTCTAAATAAATAACATTGGAAATAGTTGCTCAAGTAGAATAACTCATTACTTCCCAGATCTTTCAAAGTTACACAAAACTCATAAGTTTAGACGTCCTAGCTAGAATAGTAACATTTTTTCAAATAACTGATGCCATGAGACAGTAGTGACAGCTGTTGAAAAATAGCAGGAAAAAATAGAGACCTTCAGCCTTAGCTAGAGTATCATCAGTATATAAATGACAATTTATCTCTGGTTGCTCTTGTGTATTAAAAAAATTGAAATATCATCTCTTGGGTAAATTATATTTTTTCTCGAAGCAGCCTAAATACTCGGGCACCACGGGTGCTATAAGTAACTCACGGAAATTTTGTTAGTCCGAAAAGCCTCCTTAGGTAGATTGTTCCACAATATTGATACCCTACGGGCAAAGAAGCGGTCGTAACAGCAAGATCTGGATGTACCAGGTTTGACATGGTTAAGATGGGAGGCCAAAGTCAGACTTGAACTGATATGTATATGACTCTATCTACTGATTTGCAAAGTAGATAATCGGATGATAAACGATCCAACCCATACTTATTACAGTAAGTATAAAACTGTGAAAATATCTGATTTCTATTTGAAAAATTGATTTTTGTTTTCTCATAACCTCAATTTTTTTAATCACCATAAATTATTTATGTACGAGCCCCTTCCCACTTCAGTTGGCCCAACTATTGAAATCTTAGTTTTTTTCTTATCAAACACAAATAATAAAAATGTAGCAGGGCGATATAGGTTTAAAATATTAACAATGAATATTTTTATAATATATAGTAGAAATCAACCAACTTTGTCACTCCCTAATCAAATTTGCAGCATAAAAATAACACATGTTGCAATTACAGCATATCAACCTATTTTCATTTCAATGCAAAATAAGTCTATAACGCATAGGTGGCTGTGAAAAATAAAAGCCATGACAATTGTTTTTATTAAACACAGCTGTCAGAATACGTTTAAAATAGTTTTGGGTAGTTAAGGTTTTCAAAATGGGTAGAGGAAAGGTTATTAGTGAGAAAATTCGGTTACTGATAATTAAATTTTTTAATTCTGGGAAATCAAACTCAGAAATTGCAACTTTGTTAGACTTATCGCGGTACAGTGTGAGAAATATTGTTAGAAGATATAACGTAACTGGTTCAGTTAATATTAAGCCACGGAATGTGTAAAAAAAGTAATATCATAAATGCCGACCGAAGAGCATTAAGAAGAATAATCGTGAAAAACAGGCGTGCCAATTACACTGGTCAACAAAATTTTAACTTTGTCGTGCCACACGGACTTTTTTGATATTTTTTACTTTAATTGGTGATTGTAAAAAAAATTGCTAGACAACGATTTCATTCTATTGAGTAATTTAAAATATTAAGAAAAAACACAGATCTCGTAAATCAAAAGATATTTTTTTATAAATGAGTTAATAATCTAAGATTTTCTTGAATATTTAGCTTCTGGTTGGTCCCTTTTAATTGTCCAGCAGTAATCTGCTAACATATTTGGGCTCCATTTGCCCTGGTACCGCTTTTTCATATTAGAAATGTCCTGATGGAACCTCTCACCGTGCTCGTCGCTGACAGTCCCTAAATTGTCAGGAAAAAAATCCAGGTGCGAGTCTAAAAAATGGATCTTAAGTGACATGTTGCAACCCAATGCTTGATATGACAATAATAGCTCGCTAACCAACTCTCTGTAGCTGTCACTCTTGTGGTTACCCAAAAAATTTGAAACAACATTTTTAAAAGCCTTCCATGCAGATGTTTCTAAATCGCTTAATTTTTCTTCAAATCTTGAATCTTTTATTAACTCCCTAATTTGAGGGCCAACAAAAATACCCTCTTTTATCTTTGCATCACTTATTTTAGGGAATTTTTCTTTTAGATACAAAAATCCACTCCCATTGCGATCCATTGCCTTCACAAAATTTTTTATTAATCCTAATTTCATATGCAATGGTGGTAGAAGCACATTATTTGGCTGTACAAGGGGTAAATATTTTACGTTTTTTTGCCCAGGAACTAACGGTGCACGCGTAGGCCATGTTTTTTTTATATAGTGATTACTCGTAGTTCTGTCTCGGCTATCCCATTCACATAAAAAGCAGCAAAACTTTGTATAACCCAGCTGAAGTCCAAGTAATAGTGCAACAACTTTAAGATCACCGCAGATTTTGAGGGAATATGTACTGTAATTTATTTTTTCAAGTAAAAGTTTCATATTTTCATAGGTTTCTTTCATATTTGCAGCATGGGCCAGAGGTACAGACAGAAGCTTACTTCCATTATGCAATAACACTGCTTTTAGACTTGTTTTCGAAGAATCAATGAATAAACGCCACTGAGAGAGATCAAAATCTATGTCCAACATTTTCATAATCTCATTTATGTTATTGCAAAACACCAAATCTCCATCCTGAGAAAAATACGTTCTGAAGTGTTGATCACGGTTTCGAAAATAGCTAACTTTTGTATTATGATGTAGCAAATTCTATTCTTTTAGACGTGATCCTAATAGTTCTGACTGCTTTTTTGAAAAATTTAAATCCCGAACCAAATCATTTAGGTCTCCTTGAGTTATCAAATGTGGCTCGTTTACAATTCCTTTTAACTCAAAGTCATCGTCCTCGTCAACACATTCACCTGAAGTGGACGGTTGTGAATTGTTCTCAACAGACGTAGTTGCAACTGGTAATTTTTTACAATGAGATAGCCGAAGATAAGTTAGGGTAAATAACTGTGGTTTTTTTCTTGTAATTTATACCTTTTACGTCTGTGAGACAAAAATAGCAATCTGAAACGTGATCTCGCTGTTCAGTCCATATCATGGATACAGCAAACGGCATAGGTCGTAAAATTTCGTCGTTGTTTTTTGAATGTTAGTTCTCCGAAGACATAACAAAAAGAGTTAGGATCATTATTACACTTCCTCGACATATTCACAGGGTTAATTAAGCACAAAAAAGTGTTCAAATTCAACAACAAATATTTTTATAAGGATTTACTTGTAAGCGTTTCTGTTAATTTACTGCCGTAGTACTAGTTATGAGTATTACCGTATCACAACAAATATGAGGCTAATAGACATATGACAGCTGTCATGTAATAATGAGGGTAGACTGATAAAACAAAATTAGCTGTCAAAGTTCGTGTGGCAAAACCAGTGTTGACCAGTGTTATTTATAATTAAGTGCTCTGTGGAGTGACGCGGTTGGAAGGAGAATTTCGAGGTCCTCAACTCATAGAGAGGCCCACAAACTGGGATTTAGCACTTGCAAAGTTTTCTTATAAAAAAAAAGTAAAGTAAAAACCAAGTCGCACAACTTGTTTATAGGCCAAAGAAAAGCCACTATTAACTCCACTCCAAAAGAAAAATCGGCTTAGATGTGCTAAAGAACATAGACAATGGACAGCTCAACAATGGTGTGCAATACAATGGAGTGAGGAGGCCCGATTCGAAGTTTGTGTTGGTGACAGTCGCAGTAGAGTTATTCGCAAAAAAATGAAGCATTCCATGTTGACTGTCTGAAGAGAAAAGTGAAATTTCCAGCATCCATTATGGTCTGGGGCAGTATGTCATCAAAAGGAGTAGGAAAACAAATATTTGGCAATTTTAGAAGAATCGATTTTACCAGTGATGGAAGAATGTTTGACATCCGGCCAAGATTTTGTGTTTCAGCAAGATGGTGCAGCGTGCCATACCTCACGACAACATCCTGCTCGTACAATCACCGAACTGAGACAAAAGCTTCAAGAAATATGGGATTGTTTTACACCAAATTTTTGCGAAAACTTAGTTAACACTATGCCCCTAAGAATTTCAGCCGTAATAAAAAAAAGGTGATGTTACCCAATGGTAATCTTTCAATTGTTGCTTTGTTAACTTCGCGCATTTATTCGTACATTGTTTATTTGTTCAGATGTTCTATTAGTTATAGGCCTAAGTGATTTAAAATATGTATTTTTTACGACTAGAGTGTATCTAAAATGTTTTTGAGAAAATAAATTGTTTCAGAAGTAAATAGTTTCGTCATGTTTAGTTTATATATATATATATATATTTTGGTACAAATCTAGAAGTGGGCCAACTGAAGTGGGAAGGGGCTCGTAAATACTAAAAGTATATTAAGATCCCTATAACTGTATAACAAATTAAATAGCAGAGACACAAATATAGGAAAAATATTTATTTCACGTAATTTTCATTTTTTTAAACATCTCAAAAATGATTAGAGTGTTTATTCATGAAATTTGTTTACGAGTCATTTACAGAATCCAAAAATTGAATGTCCCATTGAGTTGGTATCTACACCCTGTATAAACAAAAAAGCCCCTATATTGTAGTTCAATTTTACCCTGATCCAAAACTTTCTTATTGCCCAATATCTAATGCCTACATTTCAGTAATTGATCACTGCAGTTTTTTATGGAATTATTGTAAGAATTCACATGATTTGCTTTCTGTTGGGAATCTGAATGAAAAGTATTTGCTATACACATTACAACCAACACATACATATGTTGTAATAAGGGATTGAAATGTCAGGGGCCAAAGCCTGTTTTGTACTAGTTTGTATGAATAAAATTGTATTTATATTGAGAATCCTACACCTGTCTTTTTGAGTAACTCTCTTCCAATTTTATATTTCAATAATCTAAATATTTTCTCATTCAAGGATTTATTTGTTCCTATATGATTATATTAAATTATAGTGCCTATACATATAGAAATTCCAATTCTCTTATATGGTTGGTGAATATTTTAATTTTTTATGTAACTTTAGAGGCTTTAAGAAGTATTCCATAAATTCTACAGATTTTTCAATCCCTAAATATTATTTTACATTTGTACTTCAAAAACCCAGCTTACAAGCCATGCTGGGAGAAAATAGTATGTTGCCATTTACTGGTATTAAAAATGTTTGGTAATTCTCTAGTTTAGCTAGACCAGCCATTTTTAATAAAAAAAATTATTTCATATCCCAGCTTATGGGTGCAGTTGAAAGAGATGGGACTGAAAATATGAAAATTCTAGACTATTTTACTATACTTCGAAGTTGAGTCATTTATTTTAACAGTGAGTAGATCTGATCAAAAGAAATGTTTTTTTTCCTTTACCATTTTTCTGGTAAAATTAAAGTAACAAAGTTATAGCCCTTTGGAAGTTTGAGTACCGCCCTGTCTCAATAATAATATCATGTGCTCGTGTTTGGCAACAACGGATATAATCCGCCTTATCGGTTCATCGCATCGGAAACAAAAAAGCGAAAGAATTTGGAACGATGTTTTTACAATTATTATATTCAGTTGTATACATATAGTCAGTGTCAGTCGGTAACGCGTGTGAATAGTGGTTTCTGTTGCGTGGCTCAAACGAAATAAAAAATGGCACATGTTTATGCGGATCGGTTTCCCAATCGAGTGCAACCAACCCCTCGTGCCTTTGTTAATGTAGTACAACGGGCTCATGAATCAGGTGACTTAAGACCTCACAGGGGACCTCACGATCAAGTACAGGTCCGCACTGAAATACTTGTCGGGAGGATACTTGATAAAACAAGGTAAAAATATTTTTTTTTAATTTTTTTTAATTTTTACACACATATTTTGGTTTATCTTCCTTCTACAATCATTATCTGAAAATTAATGACTCAACTTCAAAGTCACCCTGTATAACAGCACTACATACGACGGTCGTCTGAATAGTTTCCAACCTCAACATGAAGATGGTAACACTCGCAAATAAGAGCTAGTGAACTTCGATCATCGGTTGACAAGTTTCAGCCATTTTGGACGCGCAGTTGTTATGTAACAGTCATTTGAGATAGTATTGATTTGAGTGTTTTTGTGAAAATGGACAAAATCGAGTAACAAGTTGTCATTAAAATTTTTTTTTTTAAAGGCAATATGACCACACAAATAAAGGATGAGTAGGATTCTGTGTATGGGGACTCTACACCATCATTTATACAGTGAAATTTTGGGCAGCTGAATTTAAACATGGCTGTGAGAGCTTGGGAGACGATGAACGTTCGGGACGTCCAAGAACTGCAACTACCGACGAAAACATCGCCAAAATGTCACCAAATGGTATTACACGATCGCCGAATTAAAGCGAGAGAGAAGGCTGAGGTTATGAATACGTCAAAAGAATGTGTTTGACGCATATTAAATCAATATTTAGGCATGAGAAAGCTGTCCGGGTTGGGTGCTGCGTATCCGCACGTTAGACCAAAATTGTGTTCGAATGAACATTTCCAATGCTCTGTTGCCGCAGTTCGGATACTATCATATGCCCGAAACAAAACTACAGCCAGACAGTGGACAGCAAAGGGGAAATCGGCTCCAAAAAAAGCAAAAATTGTTTTTCCAGCTGGGAAAATGACAGCAACAGTTTTTTGGGATAGTCATGGAAATATTTTAACTGAAAATCTTCAAAAAGGAAAAACCATTACAGGAACTCTTTGAACTGCTTGACCATCTGCCTTACACACCAGATCTAGCCCCAGGCAACTCATTTTTGCTATCTCATCTAAAAATTGCGTTTGGAAGACAGATTTTCATCAAATAAAGGAGCAATCACCTTTGTGAACAATTATTTTTCAAAGAAAAACGCTATTTGGAAGGGTTACAGAGATGGGAGGATCGCTTGGAAAAGTGCATAGAGTTTCAAGGAGAGTATTTGAAAAAAATTCAAAAAAAATGTCTTGTATCTTTGTTACGTTGGAAGCTTTTCCATCATCGTATGTCAGACGGAATAGCACCAGAATTCAAAGCACTAGAGTTCTAGAGTAACTGGAGAGCTGCTTGGCATGGATGTGCATATTTTTGTTTATTTTCTTATAATTCTGCAATATGGCAACATCGCAGTATGTATAGGAACCATCCTATTCTATGAACGTCAGGATTTAGGTGTTTATACATTTTAAAATCTAGATATGAACAATATTCAGCAACTAACCCATTTGCAGACATTTTCAATCTCCTGTCCATCATTTACAACCCAAACCTACTGTCTATTTGAATGGAGAAACAAGAATGGCCGGTGTCTCAGCTAGAGAATTACCAAAAGTTTTAAACAGACCATCAGGGATATGTACACTAAGTTCTTATAATGCAAATAGGGAAATGCAAAAATCATCCATGATTTAAGATTTTTGGCAATCACAATGAGGCATCTGCTTATATGAAATAAAAAAATGAGAATTGTAAGAATTACCTAATAGGGCTCCTGCCAGAACCACAACCCCAGTTGTCCCATCACCAATCTCATCATCCTGGGACTGTGCCAACTGAACCAGCAGTTTAGCGACTTCATGATCTACATCCATCATTTTCAAAATAGTTGCCCCATCATTAGTTACTGTAACTTCACCTAAAAATACGTAAAAGGGAATTAAATAATGCGCTAATTTATGATCAACATGTGACAACATACCATCCTGAGACACCATCATCTTGTCCAGTCCTTTGGGTCCCAGGGAAGTCCTGATGGTTAGAGCGACTTGTTTTGCGGCCAAAATATGAGACTGAAAACAGACATTTTGAAAGCGTTAGAATATTTTTATGAAAAACTCGACAACAAATGTGAATTAAAGTCAAGTCTGTCAAAGGTATTCTTCAAATTAAGGAAATAATTCTCATATGATAAGACTCCATTAAAGGTAAATAAACTGACATAACCTACCTTGAGTGCATCGATTCCGGTCAGCCGTTTCTGTTTATCTTGGTCACGTAAAATGATGAAAGGTCTACCATATTCATCGAATGCGATGCTTCCTGGGAAGCCGGCCATTGTACTTATTCAAAAAATTTAAAGGATTACCCTAATTTTTTTGGATTTGCAAGTCAGGAAAATTTTTGAAGAATATTCTTTCTTTTTGGGAAAGAATGTCATTTGTCAATAAATGTCATATTTACGTCTAATGTCATTGTTTTGCGACATCTCTTGAACGAAAGTTGAATAACACAAGTTATACTGCATAGTGAGTAGAATCCTACTGTCGGATCGCGAATTGTAACACTATATAGTATCTACTCCTAGATGCCGCCGGTACCGTTCTACCAAAGACGTGGTGTCGAAACTAGAGAGTTAGAGGCGAACGCGGACAAACGAAAATAATGCCATAAAGCAAAATAGCCTCAAAATTTATGCAAAGTTTCTGAGAATTCTGAGAGGTTTTCGAAAACTATTACGAATATTATTCAACACATCTTATAAAAGTATTATTTGCTAATAGAATAATAGTTTCTGGAAATTAGTTACAACCTCTGTGTTGGTGTATACTATATGAGGAGCAGACTTTCAAAAAGCATTAAGTGCAGTTTTTACGAAATTGGCCAAAAGATGGCGATCAAATGTATAGGTTCATCTCCATTTGTCAACCGCTCCTTGGACATCCAAAACGATGTTAAACGATAAATATAACGCCCGTTAATACGTCTAGACTTTCAAAGAGCGTTATTTTTTTCTGCGTTGGACAAACAAATAGACTTTGATAAGCTAGTTAGTGCATGAACGCTTTTTGTTTGTCCAGTATATTTTGGATGAGCAGCAAGTAAACCCTTTTGTTTGGACACGTGTCTCAAGATTGTAATCCTGTCGTAACTTGCTTCAGTTAGCATAGTGATATCGAGTGGGTTAGATCGGTCGTACCACTATTATGGATGAAGAGCATATTGTTGGTGATCAAGACAGAGGCAGTAGAAAAGGAAAATGGGGTGCAACATCACGGCAGCGGCAGAAAGAAATACGTTAGATATAGTAAATTATGTTATTTGGGGAATTTTCTCATAGTTTGCGGTTTTATTTCTAGATACGATGACCCTGATCCCAAAAACTTTCATGTAAGGATATTCCTTTCGAAGATCTAAGGCGCTGCCGATAAAAGTTTTATTCACCAAAAGACAAGGTTAAGCAAGATACGAAACTGTCTCATTTAATTGAAATTGGAACTCCTAGGAGAAAGAAACGTTCAGACCAAAGCTTTACTAGAAACCGCAACATTACTGTGCATTACAATGTGTGGAGCTCCAACAGCAAAAAAAGAATTTGTCAGAAAATGTTTTTAAAAATTTTTGGTATTAGTCAGAAACGCATACAAAATATTTCTAGGCAAATGAAAGCTGGATCGGGTATTTCTGAAAATCGTGGTGGTGACAGACGTTCGCAGAAAAATGTGGAAAAGCGTAAAAAAGTGAAAGCATTGATCGCAAATTTAAAGGGGCAAGAGAGTCACTACGGAATAGCGAAATCTAAAAGGATATATTTATCTGCAGAGTACAATATCACCATACTACAATGATAGCGTTAAAGAAAGCTATAAAGTAAATTACAAGTACTTTAGTCGCCTTTTTTCGAATGACTTTAACATAGGATTCGGTACACCGGCGACCGATGTTTGTGGATTCTGTACGCGGCACCTAAATCTGCTCTCTATGGTGAACGGCCAACGCGAAAAGCAAACTGTTATTACAAATTTAAGAGTACATAAGTTACGAGCAAAGCAGTTTTTTAGAATGATGAAGGAAAAATCTGAAGATGGCATGGCATTCTGGTTCGATCTTCAGCAGGTACAACCTCTCCCTAAAGTACCGATTTCAGAGGCATTCTATGCACAGCAACTCTCCTTGTATGTTTTCTGTATCACCTTGGAAGCGAACAATTTTCTACTCATGGTTAGAACACCAAGCAGGAAGGGGTGCCACAGAAGTTGGTTCTGCTCTTTACGATTTTCTCAGAAAGGCTGAATTTCCAAAAAAGTTGAAAGAATTGACGTTGTTCTCTGATGGATGTGGAGGCCGAAACAAGAACAGTCACATAGTTCACATGCTAATGATGTGGCTACATAAAGAAGCACCAGAAGGCCTTCAATCTATAAGAATGGTTTTTCCAAGCGGATCGCATTTTTGGACGATGTGAGAAGCTTATAAAGTCCCATAGCACACTAAAGTCACCAGAAAAATACTGGGAGTTTGATTGGTTCGAAAGCTTGGGACTGACTGGAAAATATATGACCTGAAATCCGCTTTGACCACTTTTAAGAAAATCGAACCAATCAGTCATGCTAAGCGAATCTTGATAAAACGGACTTCAAAACAACATGTAGCGGTGAAAACAGAAACCTTTTACAGAAATGACGATGCCATCGCCAAGTACTTGACGTTGTTAAAAAAAACAAGATTGAAAACTTGAGTTTGCCAAGGTTGAAATAAAAAGGACAAAGTTGAAAAGTCTGCATAACCTTTTGGTGCAGCTATCCACAGAAATATGGCGTGAGGATGAGGAATTGCAATGGCTTCGTCCTATTTTTCCAGAGCCCCTTGAAGAGCTACAAGAGAATAGTGATGAAGACAATGATGAAGATAATGCCCAAGAAATATGTAACTGCATCGAGGATGATGGCGGAGTGAAAGTTTGAATATTTTTCTCTAAGCCTATTTTTTATAAGATTGTATTCATCGGTAAATGGAATAAAGGTATTTTGACTTAAGTTACCGTTTCCCAAACAGAAGGACTTATTTCACCTTCGGACAAACAAAGTGCATCAAATAGAATCAACTTTTGATCAAAAAATGGAATTTCTTTGTTTTCCAGGTAATCCTCCTTCACCATCAAAGCCTATCTATTTTCGTGGTATTTGATTCACCAAAATCAAGCATTTGCAGCTACGCATGTTGTCACAGCAGTGTTTTCCACTTTCCTCAATTTATGCGGGTCATAGCATAACGCTTTTTGAAAGTCTGCTCCTCATATAAGGTTCCAAGGGTATTGGTAAATTGGTATACAGGGTGTTCCAGGAAGAAACTGACATTGTAGAATGGTAGTGGCATGTACTAAGGTGTTCTCGTAATTGTAATTTACATGATTAAAAAAATATGTAACATTCTGGAAAATGTTTACAGAATAATGTTATTAACACTTGAAGTTTTAAGTTTTTAATAAAAGCGGTTGAAAAAAGTTGATGGAAAGTATCGTAACGAGAAATCTGGCTACGCTAGAAAACTTGATGCAAGATGTGAACCTAACACACGTACAAACATAAAGCGGCCTTGTCAGGAGTTTACTGAAGGCGATCGAAAAAAAACATAATTAATTCCTTCTGGCCTAAATTGAGACCTCTTGGAATAGCATGAAAATATTCGAGGCTTGTTCAATTGAAACGCATCTTTGGTCCAGAAAAAATGTATCGGCAAATATATCTATAAATAATTACCACTACAATTAAGGCACAAATCCCACTGTTTCACCAATCGATGTACTTACCTTGCTTAAAGAATTCTTGTGACTGCTGCTTGAAGAATTCTTTTACGGCATTTTGTACTTCTTTGTCCAACTGAAAGTATTGCACTCTCCAGACCTAAAAAAGGTCAACGCGACCTGTGCTTCTTATACGAACATGGTCACCATTGAAGAGCAGGAATGTCAGCTGCACCAGAAACGAGGCTAGAGGGCAAGCAAGTTTGGTTAAAGAAATGACGACCGGAAACTTTTTCGCGCACAATTTTTTCCTTTCAAGTTTTTTTGTCAGAATTTCGTGGAAGCTTGTCAGCTATCCTTCAAACTGTCAATCGACGGTCGTTAAGAACACATCCCCGAATTCGTTCATTTCCTTCAGAGCTCGATGTGGAGGGGCGTCCTGAGCGTTGGTCATCTTTCACATCTTCTCGGCCTTTTCAACCACTTGTTGGCGGTTGGTTCCTTCAGGGAGTTGTCTCCGAAAACTTGTTCCAAACACTAAAAAATCTCACGACCATTCTTGCCTACCTTTGCAAGAAACTTGATGCCGTTGCGCCGTTCCTCGATCAGATTACTATTTATCTTTTTGTCTTACCTTAAATAAAAAAGCTTTCTACTGAACTACGTTTTTTCAATTTTTTGATATAATTCCTGAGCTTTTTAGCTTTAAAGTTAGGTGGGCCTGATTCACCTCAGGCATCTTAGTTCCACCACATCAGCTATTAACAGTTTTATTCAGTTTATTTCTTGGACTTACCAAAAGCTTTTGATTGTGTTCAACACAACAGCCTGTTCAAAAGCTGCCTTTTTATAACTTTCATGAAACATCCACTGCAATGATTAAATCATACCTGAGTATCTGCAGTCAATTTGTATTCTTTAAAGGTTGATCATCCTCACAGTTATTCGCTGCTCTCGGGGTACCGCAAGGCTCGGTTTTAGGACCTATTTTATTTTTAATTTACATAAACGATATGACTAGTTATAATGTAAACAATAACTTAACCCTATTCGCTGATGAAACTACCTTGGTGAATAACAACGCCTCTGCAACTTCAACGATATATGGCTGTAAGGCTCTTAAAAATAATCTAGCAAACTGATTAGCCATTAATAAGGTGACCGTCAACGAAACGAAGTCTCAGATGACCATTCTCAATCTGAGGCACTACGGCACCAATGCACTAAAGTCTATGAAGTTACTAGGGGCTTACATTGAGGAACACTTGTCGTGGGAAAGTCACTCCATGTTCTCGGTTCATTAGCTATATGTTATTTGTTTAATAAGGAAGTTGAAACATCTCTGTCAGTTTTTCTTCTAACATATTATTCCTTTTTTATATTGAAGCAGCCGCGCTGGCAGAAGCCTAAATGCCGGAACAGCGCGGCTGCTATGATGATCCCAAAGAAAGTTTGTTAATACGATTTTTGAACTGCCTAAGGTTAGCAGAAGTTGAAAAGCTTCCTCTTGTAGATTGTTCCACAATCTCGACACCTTCGGGATAAAGGAGCGGTCGTGTCGGCCAGTTCTGGATATACGAAGTTCGACACGACTAGGATAGAACGCCAAAGTCAGGCGGGTCTGTCTGGCAGGCAAATCGCGCGACGGCATCATGGAAGAGAGCTCTGAGGAGCAAAGCCCGTTGGCGTAGCGATAGAAAAGAGCTAGAT